AAAGTCTGTGCAGGCGAAATGGGTTTGGCCACACATTCGTTTCATTAAAAGTTCTGTGTCTAAAGAAGAAAGGAAGACGAGAGGGTAGAACAAGTGTAGCACTCTCTTTCGCAATAGAAATTTAACAAGTATGGCTGAAAAGAGTCGATAAACTGACTAATCTGAGATACCCATTGATCGGTTGGTTGTTTGTATTTATTTATTTTTCAGAATAGGAATTATTTGAGGCCCCAAAATGTCTAAGTACAATTTCCTTCTTTTACATACATACATATATGTACATATGTATCTCCATCACATACCCTTGTATGTGAGTACCAGGTGCTAAGAAACCAGCTGAAATCGAAGGAGATCTAAGACAAGGATAGCCAAGAGAGGAGCATGGAGAGGGAGAGCAAACTATCTACAAAGTGCTGTTGGGACTGAAAAGATTAATGACAAAACAAACACATGTGTGGACAAATTTTGAAAATAAATATATAAAAAAAAACCCACAAAAGTTTTTAGATGATAATTGATCATGTGTGTTGCGCGTGGAAACCATACAGAACATAAAATACTGTGTGTTGTTTTTTAAGAAATTTTCCTTGAAATGGAAACACAAATTGCATCCCTGTATTGTATGGATTAATCAATTGCAAATCAAAATATCTTTCAGGAATAAAATACCATAAAAGAGTGACCACATCATTTAGGATTACTTTATTCGCGCAATTAAGCGACAATTTGCCATTCACCGTCTGCCGTCTGTCACCCCCGCCACCCTAGGCAGGCACCAGACATGCCAGAAAGACGTTTGTCACTCCGGAATCTCCAGTTGCAGAAGCAACAGCAGGGAGAGCAGCAGAGTCCAAACTGCAGTCTGCGCGACAGAGAAAACGGAAAAGCAAAAAGCAAGCAAAGAGAATGAAGGCGACAACCGATGACAGCATGAACAAACACAACAACACGAGTACACACCCTCAGAGACTCAGAGACCGCATGTGTGTCATTTGTGTGCGTGTGTGTATGCATTCATTGAAAAATAAAATTGTCCCGCAACCAGAATGACGACATATAAATAAAATACACTACACCCGATGGGATCGAATCGTTAATACCCACTAAGTAATTTGGTATGGTATTAACTATATCTTGAATATCAGATTCTATTCAGCCATATCTATTTGTGTCTCCACTTAGGGCTTTCGTATACTGTAAGTACTCGGAAGAGATCGCTTTTGATGCCCACACAGATTAATTAAGGAATTGATGATAGAGGCACGCTATCTACAATTAAGATATTCTTCCCAAATTTGAAGCACGTAGTCAAGACAGTTACAGTTATAGTGATATACAGGAGGAAACCATCTCAATTGGATAATTATTAAATACCGTATAGGGAAAGGCAGCAACAGCTTATCTCAGACAGTAAAACGTACCCTGTACCCTGTAGTCGATCATTGTTATCTTCTTACAACAAAAGCGCGTAGTATACCCCATTAAATAGAAGAGATAAAATGCATACATTGTAAGATGTGGTAAGGGGTACCCCGAGTGCTGCGCGACACTTGCTTGGCCACACAAAAGCAAAGACAACAAGCGAGAGGAGATCGGAGATAGAAGACAAAACAAAGTAAAACCCCAACAGCAAAACAACAAGTTGTAAAGCGAAAGCGATAAGAAATTGAAAAAGTGCGTGCCGGTGCATATGTGTGTGTATGTTTGGCTGCTGCTGCACAAGGTATATTAAGTAGGAAGGTACATACGTACATGCGATCGAGCCATCGAGTACAGGGCGTACTGAGAATTGAATGAGTGCGCGGGATCTATGAGACGATGCCGAACAACCATTACACCATAATTCGTGAGGTAACGACCTTGCCCGCCACTCTTCTGTTAAATATACCTTGCCACTGCAGTTTACTGCTTCTGCCCGCTGACAATTACCTTCGAGGCAGCGCAACAGCAGAGCCTTGGCTGCTTTCCTTCCCTTTCTCTGACATACCTGGGGACATTGGTTCGTTTTTGTGGATTGCATGGAATTACTTAATAATTTAAACAATTTAAAATTCCAAGCGCGTTTTTTGCACTCTGCTGTACGTTTGTTTCTTGGGCAAAGGCACAACTTTTCAATGATGTTTCTGTAAAGCCAAAACGTGATTCGAAGAAGCCAGAGAACTCTGTTTTCATGTCATCGGTTGGATTGTTACCACGTCCGATAATTATAAAGTGTACCCCGTCATTCATTCTGTGTTTTCTGAGTGTGTGCGAGAGTTTTATTTTTAGAAGAAAATAAATTTTTTTCTTTGCATTTGCTTTTTACAGCGATGCATTTGCATTTTGTTTCGACTAGACTCCCTTTTTACGTTGTTTTGCATTTAATTTGAATTAGAGTTGCCCCGCGACAAATTAATAATAATTCAAATGTGCAGCACGTAAAGATAATTCCTAACTATTTACAGCAATATCCGTTGGGGGCGGTCATTAATCTGCAGCTGACTTTTTGGGGGGAGGAAGACACTCCATAGATAAATATGTAGTATATTTATTCTCGGAAATTGCAGTCAGATTTGTGTACTTTTTAACGCATCAACAATTTGAGTTTGATGTTACACCCATTAGAATATTCAGATAAGACAGTTAATCTTTGTTCTTTCAGCTGATGCATGGAATGGAAAAACTTTATGAATCATTCGTAGAGTTGCGTCAAACGCTATCTAATCCACAATCAAATAGGTAAGCAAGGCAAGTTGTGGTAATCATCCTTTCCATGAAATGTTTATGATCAGATTTTGTTTGAAATTGTCAAGCAATGTTGGGGATTATCACTCTTCTTTTTAAGTGTCAGCAGGCCTAATAGAAACATTATATTTTGATGGACAATCATTGCACAATTTCCCTTAAATTTAAACAAAAAAAAAACAAAAATGATTAAGAATGGGGGACCTACCAAAGTAAATGTGTGCGTCAGATTGTACTATTTGTCATATGAAGTGTTCAATAGAATGTTTCATTTTCCTAACGCATAGTATTTCTCTTTAAAATAGAGAAATCAAGAATACGTGTGTGAATTTACTACATATGAATCCAACTCATATCACCCACCATTCTTAGGGTATCATTAAACGCAGACACAGATTCCCCGCCCGACCAGATGAATTGTTTGCGTTACTTTGTTTCTCTGCGTTTACTTTTGCACCCCGCTCCAAACATTTGCGATTCGATGACATTAAACGGTAAAGCAAAACCAAAAACTGATACGAGCGAACGAGAGAGCTTCTATCTTCTAGTTTGTTGTGCGATTGTGTGTGTTGTGTGAATGGTTCTATCTGCCTGGCATCCCTATTCCTCCCCTCCAATTAAGACGAGCTTAGGGAGAGCGCAGCGATGACATCACAGAGGAAGAACCACATTTTTTGTTGCTTTGCAAATTGAAATGCTTTTCACATACGCAGACAGGCAGACAGACAGATAGACAGACAGCATAAAAAAGTGGAAAATATTCTTATCAAGAGGCAGAGGGCACACAAATGGGCGCGCCGCGTCCATCATCCCATCCCAGGCCTTGGACGGCGTCAGGCAGGGCAGGCAGGGACACTTGGGGGCAAGACATAAAGGAAAATGTTGCAATGCCAAAAGTGAACCCAAAGGGGAGTAGGAGTAAAAGTGGGAGCTCCTGCTTGGTGGTTGATGAAGTCATTGCTTCGCTCTTTTACGGGAGAGAGTGCGCCGCCACTGGCAGGGAGGAGAGCAGGAGACTTTTGTCCCAGACAAGAATATGGCCAGTGACACACACGTTTGGACTAGGGCTATGGGAAGTGGTGGGTGGGTGTCGTGTCCTGCATGGGAGTCATTAACTTACCGATCCGCAATCGGCTGCCGGCGAATTCTCCACAATGTCGTAGATGACATGTGGCGGTCCAGTTGATCCGAGCAACGAAAACCCGAAACCGGAATGCTGTTCGCTGCGTCGCAGCACCACTTTCAATTCCTCGGTCATTGCGCCCCGTCCGTCGTCCGTCTCCGCCTTCAGCCCCCAAAAAAGATGCCGCTCCCTGTGCGTGTGCTGTGATGTTGCTGCTCCTGCTGCTCTTTCAGTGTAGTGGTGCGGGTGTCGGTGTCTGGTACTCTGCTTGGCTTACACTTATGTTTATAACTTTTTTCATATATATATTTAATTTGCTGCTGGCTTAATTTTCGTTCGTTTTGGGCTTGGCTAACACGCTGCCGCCACTTCAGCACTTCTTTTGAGCAGAGCAGTCATTTACACACAGCACAGAACAGACACAAAACGCACTCACAACACGCACACACACTCATCACTCTCACTCACACTCACGACACAATTACGGCTACAGCTTTAAAATCGACTTCTTCGCGGATTTTGTTTATCATTTTTGTTAAATTGTTTGACTGCACTCTTGCTTGCGGCTGGGCGCAGCTGTAGCTCCTTTAAACGCAAATTTCCAACGGCCACCGCATCACGAAAACTTGTTTAATTTTTTTCTTTTTCTTCGTTTTCCTCTTCTTTTTTGTGTTAGACTTTTCGCCGCCGCCGCAGTGTTGCTGCGTGTCGCTGCCACGGATCACAGTGGTTCAACCGCACATTCTAGCGCGTTTGCGTGTGGCTGTTATTAGCAACATTTCCGTTTTTCTACTTTACCAGCAGTAATGCTGATTAATTAATTCATTTCTTTTCCAATTAAATTCGGTCGAAATACGCGATCCGCGAAGTTGTTGTGCAGCGTGTGACCAGTGTGACCGCGGATCTATCAAAAAAATATACCACCTGACCCTCGCAAATATACCGCGCTTTACCTTCACATTTTCAAAATATACCGAAGAAAAAAAGGACTTAGCCCACTTAGCCCCCTATATTAAACCAGTGAAAAACATTCAATTAAGTCGCGGAAAAAAAACTGTGTAAATTGTAGATCCATCTTTAATATTAGTAACTAGCTAGGACCCGCAGCACTTTGCTTTAAAATTTTGGTTTGAAAGTCTAGAAAGCGGCATAGTATCTGTTGTGCTTTTATTTGAATTAGTTAAACTGTTATTTGCATATCCAACTGGGCTTGAGCGATGTTTTCCAGCGCAGACTGAATTTTCTCAAGCAACAGCTCGCCTTTTTGAACAACTTCTTCTAGATCCAGTGCGGTCTCTTGATTTTCCATTTCTAGCCGCTTGAGACTCGAGTTTTGGAGCTCAATCGAGCTGTCTTCGTTTGGCAGGGACTCAATCAGTGTGTCAATATCTTTGGCGCATCGTGCAATTAGCTGTGCGAATAGCTGAGCATAGTCCTCCTGCGGTTGACTTGGGTTCGGCGTTTGAGATCCGGTGCGGTCGAAATTGGCGAATTTACTGGGATAAGAAGTCTGCTGAATGCAACCTATAGCGTTGCAATAATGCTCGGCTTGCTGAACGTACAAATGAACACATTAACAAATGGTAATGGGACAACTAAACTATAGCGTACTTGGTTTACGGTGTCCTGCAGCTGCGTCAGCCTGTCTGCCATCCTTGCATTTGTTTTTAAAGTTTTTTTTGTTAGAAAAGTAAACAATAGGGATGATAAACAGCGTGACCGTGACGATAACGATAAAAAATACCTTCCGGCCAAAAATTAAATACCATTTCAGTTTCGAGAAATACCATTAAAATACCAAAGCCAATTATGAAAAACCACCACGGTCACGCTGCAATAGGGATGATAAATATAATTATATATATCAATATATCGATTTTGATGATGATTCGATTTGTATAGAGTTGCCAGATAAGTAGAGTTTCTTGGCGCAATTATTCAAAGAGACACTTAAATTATTTTTTGTTTATTCAAACTAATAATTTAAGAGAACCACCCTTCTGGTATATATATAAAAATAGTTAACCTTGGGCTGGTGAAAGTAATTAACTATAACCACCTCGCGTCTACCAATGGTATTTTCCAAATTCAATATCTTCATAATTCGTGCACCTAAGTTAATTATATATTTTAAATTGATGCATCTTCCCCTCCTCCACATCACTGACCATTCCAAATTATGACATCAAATTCCACTTTGGTTCTGCAGACGGGGGGTGGAACTATGGACAGTAGCCCGAAGTCGATCTGCCGCATCAGCTTAAAGGCGCGTGCAATTGCGCGACTTTTAGATAAATCACCGACACAGTTTTATGACCGTCGGAGATATTCAAATTTTACAGCCCCGCCTCCCCACCCACAAGTGGCACAAAGCACTTGACTCATGCGTACCGCACACATGCGCTCTAGCCGAGCACTTCCGTTCCTGGCCGGAGTCGGATCGTCTGGATTGTTTCGGGTTTGTTTTGACAAGGGATCCATAGACTAAGACAACATAGGGCAGGGGACTGTGGGTGTCATAACCGCTCAAAACTGTAAAAGAAAGGGAACGCTGCGCAGGAACGCGACGACTGGGGGTGGGGGTGGTTCTGTCTTGGTCTTGTGTGTCCAGATGTTGCGGACAATTATCATATCAGCAGCACATCATTTACAGTTAAGTGAAAAAGCAGATTGAGCCGCGATCGGAAGAGAGAGAGAGTGAGCGAGAGGCCACTTCCTTAATAAGCTGCTCCCGTGGGTCCGAGCGCATCAGTATTACGTAGACTCTAGCCGCGGAAGGAACCACCAACTCGATGGATTGTGAGACCTGCTATTATGTGGATATTAACAAGTCGTGGCTCAGCCAGACCCAAGGCTATACGGACTACAGCTATGGCTACGATCAGAGCTATAATCAGGGATACACTGAAATAGAGGCCAACTGGTCGTCATCCAACGATGCACACGAGCTAGAACCGCACAGATCACCAGACAGGCAGGAACGGCCAGTTCGAGAGTCCAATCCCAAGGCCAGGGCAGCCACATCGCAGCGCAAGGAGCGCACGGCATTCACCAAATCGCAGCTAAAGGAGCTGGAGAGCGAATTCTGCTACTCAAACTATCTGACGCGCCTGCGACGGTACGAGATCGCTGTGGCCCTGGAGCTGACGGAGCGGCAGGTGAAGGTCTGGTTCCAGAATCGGCGCATGAAGTGCAAACGCATCAAGCTAGAGGGAGCAGGAGCCATTGCCATCGCCACTGCCACCAAGACGCACTGCTAGTTTGTACAGGGACATATTTTAACACAACTTCTCTTACAATTGTTCGCTTACTAAGTAATTAGAGTAAAATGTAGTTTACGGCTATTTCTTCAACTTCTTGGACTTGACCTTCTGCAGGGGCTTGGCCAGCGTCTTGGCTGCGGCCAGCTGCAGCTTCTGTGTGACGGCATTTTTGGCGGCCTTCGGTGCCGGAGCGGGCTTCTTCTTTTGCACACCGCCAGAGCCAGGTTTGCGCTTCAGTTTGTCCTCCAGCCGGACAGCCGCAGAAGGGTTTTTCTTCTGCGACTTCTTGGGCGGCGGTGGGAGATCCTCCTCTTCGTCGCTGTCCTCAGAGTCATCGCTGGCCTGCTCACTCTCCCCATCCTCCAACTCAAGATCAGAGTCATCTTCGGATGCATCCACATAGTCCTCGTCATCAGAGTCCTCGTCAATGGTGGTGCCCAGCAAGTCTTCCATGCGAACCTCCTTCTCTTTTTTCTGTTTCTTGTTGGACTTGGCAGCCTCGCTTGTGGATGGTGCAGTGGCTTCTGGCGATTCCTTGGGTTTCTTGACTGGCTCCACCACCAGACCCGAGAAATCAATTCCCAAGTGCTTGTACTTCTCTTGCAGCTTCTTGACTTTGCCAAGATTGGAAACAGTGCGCTTCTGGCAGGCAGCTTCGCTCCAATTGTTTTGCTTCTTAACGCTGTTCTGCGTTTGCTTGGTGATCTCCGAAACGTAGATTTCTTTGCCAGCCTAAAGAGCATTGGAACAATTACAGTATATAGTATATTTCTATCCCTTTGCTGGCCTTACCTTATTTTGTACCCTCTTCACTGAGGTCTTGAAGTAGTTGAATTTCTGGCTTTCGGGCGGAATGTACGACGCCTTGACCACTTTCTGGAACATTAGATAGTTGTCCATGGTGTCGGCGGCCACCTTGGCCACCTCTGGATACTCGAACTCGACAAATGCAAATCCCTTGCTGTTGCCAGAGCGTGGGGAACGGGCCAGCCGGACACGCAGCACGCGACCGAATTGCTTGAAGTACTGTCGCAATTGTTGCTCAAAGAATCCGTGCGGCAAGTGCTTGATGAACACAATGCCGCGCTCTTTGCGCTCCTTCTGGTCCTCTGGCTTGGACTTTGGCAATTTTTTCTTAATCTGAAATGGAGGCACGTTTACAGTTAGCAGGCAGGCGGCAGGGCAGCCATTGGGAATGTTGTTCCTGTTACCTGTCCGGAGACTACAGTTTTGCGCGCCTCTGGCTTTTTAGTGGGGGAAGCCTGTTTGGCTATCTGCTGTGGCTTGGGCTTCTTTACCGGCGCCATATTTAGTTCTCCTCAACAATTAAAACCAAAAATTAAACGAAAATGAACCGCACGTGGAGCAGAGTTGTATGGGGGTAACACTGATAACGATACGCAGTCGCTATCGATAGGAGTGCGATAGCCCCTATCGTTGTCTCTGTGTATTGTATGTTTTATTTTTTTGTCATTTTATTTTGCCGCCACAGAAGTTAAGCAAAATGGATTGGAGTGTATCCAAGTATATGTCCTTTGATCCTGATCAGGATGAGGAAGAAAGACAGAGCTACAATCATAAGGAACTCAAGACTTTCCTGGCCAACTCGACCATAAAGGATCATTTTGGATGTGCGCATCAAATATCAGATTCAAAGCGGGTAAGGTAAACAGACTGCAACCAGAACTGATTGTTCTCAAATGCCCTTTTTGTCTCGTACAGCTGCTCAGCTACTTGAGCGCGACTTTGTCCAGCTATGCAGGGGGAGTTTTTAATCTGGAGCAGCTGCTTGATCTCTACATCTTGGCCATAATGATGATGACATACGACGAGGAGAATTTCATGGTCACTATGGACCGCTGCATGCTGGCGGATATTGTCTCCAATTTAGGAGATAGTTTAGAGCTAAAGCAGGTACGCTGTGCAGCAAATCCACCCCCGCCTTCGTGCTATATGTTTGAATTGCATTTCAGATTCACTTTATTGCCAATGGCCTGTACGACAAGTTAGTGCTAGGCGTGGGAGCCGAGCAATTGGAAAATGTCTTTAATGTGGAGGTGGCCATTCCTCCCCTAGTGCTCTCATCTGGCCATGGCAGGCACGTTGCCATGGCCCTGCTTCTGACCATCTTGGGCAGGTACACCAAAGTCCCAGTAAAACTGCAAGAGACTGGTAATGTGAGTAGTCGCGTGCCAGGCATTGAAGCACGATTGTATTGTCCACATTTTCAGGCACGTAATATATTCGAAATGGCAAAGTTGGTCAATTGGCAGGAGCTGGCGGACTCTGGGCAATATAAGGACATGTTCCTACTGATGCGATCGATTTGCCTGCTCCTAAATATGCGAAAAATTCGTGAAGAGTTTATCGATGATGATCTTGAAGTGGAAATGCACAAATTCTTCCTAAAAGTGCACTGGGGATTGGGAAAATCCGACAACCAAACAGCCTTTGTCACTATGGTTAGTTTGTTGCACGTAACTGCTGCCGATTAAACATTAACAAATGTATTTTGCAGGTGGAGCGATTCATTGCGTTCTGCGTTGTGCGTGGAGCAAGAAAAAAGTAGGACAATTCCGGAATATAGTATATTATATTTATTAATTCTAGCTATCTTTTAGTGTGATGTAGTCCCCAGTGCGCTCCTTCAAAGATACGAATGCTGTGAGAGAAGAGAATAAGTATTATTTTTTTTATCCTGGAATGCTGGAGAGCAAACCATATGCTTCCACAATAAACGAAAACAAATTTGAATAGTTAATTTCTTGCCGGATATGTAATTGCGATGGCATGGGGAAACCATCGATACTATCGATAGTGCCATCGATGGTTTTAGAATGCGTCTAGGGGGCACGTGTTGGGGTCTGGTTCCACAACATTTAAATACTTTTAAGCGCAGAATTGGCAGTGGCGATTGAAATTTGCACGCACGAAACAAACAGCACCAGCGCCAACTCACGTCTCAGCATGTTCTATCTAATCGGACTCGGCCTTGGGGATATCAAGGATATCACAGTGAAAGGGCTCGAAATTGTGAAGCAATGCAGTCGTGTGTACCTGGAAATGTATACCTCGATTTTGGGCTGTAGCCTTGAGGACATGGTGAGTAGTAGTCTTGGGGGCAGGGCAGGTGGGCGCGGGAATACCGATTACACGAATTTTCACCCAAATTTGTTGGCGTTTCCTTGCCGTTTTGTGTGTTGCAGCAAGAATTCTACGGTCGACCGCTGCTGCTGGCGGACCGTGACCTTGTGGAGCAGGGCGCCGATGAGATTCTGGCGGGAGCTGGCGAGACAGATGTGGCCCTGCTGGTCGTCGGCGACCCCTTCGGCGCCACCACGCACACAGACTTCATTCTGCGCGCCAAGGAGAAGAACATACCCTACAAAGTTATCCACAACGCGTCCATAATGAATGCCATCGGCTGCTGCGGCCTGCAATTGTACAAATTCGGAGAGACTGTGTCCATACCATACTGGGACGAGACCTGGAAGCCAGACAGTTTTTACGACAAAGTCAAACTGAATCGCCTGCACAACATGCACACGCTGTGCCTGCTCGACATCAAGGTAAAGGAGCCCACCCCCGAGTCGCTAATGCGCAAACGCAAGGAGTATATGCCGCCGCGCTTCATGAGTGTGGCGGAGGCCGCCCACCAGCTGCTCAACATCGTGGAGAAGAAGGACGCGCTGGAGCGCAACACAGTGCTCAATGAGCAATCCCTGTGTGTGGGCCTGGCACGTGTTGGCCAGGAGACGCAACAGATTGCCGTGACCACGCTGCTCGAAATGCGCTCCACAGACCTGGGCGGCCCGTTGCACTCGCTGATCATTCCCGCCAAGGAGATGCACCCGCTGGAGGTGGAATTCCTGCAGCAGTACGCAGCCAACATCAAGCTCGATGATTACAATCATTAAAATTAATTCCCACCGACTTTGCATTGAAATGAAATCAAATGAAAAATGATGATGTATCTACACATAAGCGTTTAGGAAATGTTGTATATGCATAGTAGAAGGCCATATGGGCGACACATTGAATTGAATTTAAGAAGCTCGAAGCTCTGCATCTCTCCATGGATTATAAGAAGAAAGTGATATACATATGTATGTGGTTTCCCCCACTTGGCTCTGCCCATCTGCTTAATTCCATCTGTATCTGTATATGTAGTTTGCCAATTGTCAGCATATAAAATAAAATTGCATTAACCCATTACACGGTACAAATCCACCGACCCACCAACCCACAAGCAACCCAAATCGCTAGAACAAAGGCAGACACATTTGTACGTATGCAATGTTGACGCTTTAATTGTACATCAACATACACACCACACACACACACACACATCGGCATTTAAAAAATCATCATTCGTTCAGTAGTATAGTCCGCGCATGCGGCGCGATGATCCCTGGCGGTCGTAGAGCATATTGAATTTGTTAACAAAGTGATGCATATCGTTGCATCCCTTGGTCAGTGTTCCCAGATAGCTGATCAGGCCCACGTCGTTGCATTGCGTGTAGAACTCCTCCTGGAAGGCGGGCACCTGCATCACTGGCAGCCGGTGGCACAGGGCGTACGCTTCGCGCAGAATCTCCTGGTTTGCTTTCAGCTTGCCTGCCTCCACATCTTTGATGTACTGCAGAACGATTTTGATGCGTGTATTGAGCATTTTAATGGCACTGTCCTGGGCCACCAGGTGCTCGGCGACCACACTCTTCTCGCCGGACTCGTTGGAGGTCATGCGGGCCACATGATCGACACCAATGCGCTCCGCCTCCTCGGTGGCCAGTGTGTAGGTCAGCGGCACAAACAGCATGGTCGCCTCTCCATCCACCAGATCGATCAGCGACTCGAACAGCTTCAACGGCAGCTGATCCACGCTGCGCGACAACGGGTGCAGTTGCAGCATGATGGGGCACTCGTTGATGGCGGCTATCTGTTTCTGGATTTTTATGTCGTCCGCTGTGGGATTCTCGCCCGTCGTATACCAGCCAATGAAGTCGAGGTCGCTGAATACCTGAACAGAGAAAACAAAGACGCAATTATTGTGGCGACCCATCGCATAGATTCTTTGTGCGGGCACAACCTGCTTGTACTGCTGCTCCTTTTTGTTGTAGTAGTCTTTGTTGATTATCGTCTCGTCCCCAATCACATCGGTCTTGAGTTCGAACGAGTTCATTATTTCAATGTTTCGTCCCTTTTGTTTGCCAATCAGCGCCCCGTAGACCTGACGCGGCTCCCCGTGCTGCGCCCGGAAGCGTGTCCAGTGCTCCGATATGTTCATTATGACCAGCGGATGGAGCGAGATTGTCACCGAGCCGGTTGTGCCCTGTGCGGCCATAACATTATTACCCTTGGGCTGTGCCTCTGGTTTGTTGCTGCTGGCGGCAGCTGCTGCGGTTGCGGCCGCCGATGATGAGGTGCTCGGCTTTGCCGACATGTCCACGTCGACCTCCATTTGTTCCATGCTTTAAATTTGGTGTCGGAAAGTGTGCGCAAAGAAAACGGGACAGGACACCAAAAAATTGCTAGTTGTTTTTAGAGGTGCACTATCGATAGTATCGATATTTTGCTGGTAGCCTCTACTATCGATGGTTTTGAGACTATCATGATAGTATCGAGCTACAGTCGGTACGCTTTTGATATTTTTGGGTTGGCTACTATAAATACGAAGACACATTTGTAAACAAATCAACAGGTGGCATCTAATTTTTACTATGGACAAGTTTCTAAAAGGTTTCAATGGTTTTTTTAATAATTATTAGAGCTATCACGATAGTATCGATTGTTTTTTCAACACATTCAACGTTGATGTTCCTCGAATTTGATTTTCCGTTTAATATTACAAGCTAGTTGGCCCTCTCAGCACTAAACAAAGAATTTTATCCGATAGATACATTAATTTTCTACAAGATTGGCAAGTTTTCAGAAGTCCTTTTATTGGATTATTTACATATTAAGGTTCAAACAAAAATAAAACATAAAACGAATATGACGTCGCTTTGTGGCGCTGCCAGACTTGTGCAATTCGTAGTTGCTGCGGGCTGCCATACCATGATATTTTGTGATATGAAATTCGTCAATTTTGATATTCAGTTTAATATTACTAGATTGTTGGCCCTCTCACCCGTAAACAAATAATTCTATCCGATAGATACATAAATTTTGTTCAGGATTGGTTAGTTTTTAGAACTCTTTTTCATTGGATTGTTTTCATATTAAGGTTTAAACAAAAACGGCCAAAGCATAAAACTTAAATTTTGACTAAATGTGACGTCAGTGTTGCTGGTCAACCAAGTTTCTTCTATGCGTATGGACTTTTGTATACCTTATTTCTTTTAATTGAGGTGAAATGTTTTGTTCCAAGCTCCATTAAAACATTATTTATGATTTGATCCTAGATTGACATGTTTTTTACCTCTTAATGCATATGTTTGTGTTTTATATATACATTTATCCCGGTTCTGATACCTATTATTGGAACCCGTGAGATGCAAAATTTCGTTAATATCTTTAAAACAGAAACTGAGTAGTTTCTGCATTAATTGCAGCCTAAAATTACAAACAATATCTCAAGTCCATAATATCCATTTTCCCAAGGTATGCAGATTGTTGCTCATTTAGTGCCAAAATTGCACAACAATGCTGCTAGTTCATTTCCCCATTTTGCTGAAATTTTTCCATACAAATCAAATGCATCTTACGGGAACGCGTATGGAATGACGCAACAATGAATCTTTATTCCATACGCGTTCCCGTAAGATACATTTGATTTTGTATGGGAAAAATTTCAGCAACATGCTGCCACACCACGAAAATGAGGGGAAAGTCTTCACAAAAACACTCTCTTTTCCACTGAAAAGAGAGCAAATTTTGCAAACTCTCCACGAATTGAGAGCGAATTTTGAAAAACCACTACGATTTGAGAGCGAATAATATCGATATTTTTGTGCGCTAAATGAGTTTGGCGATCATTTTCAAATGTACATATATCGAAAAATAAATATTTCACTTGATTTGTTTTGTCGAGTGTGACTGGAACCTCAGAAACCGAGAAAAAAAATAGCTTAGCCCCGCTCTATTTAATCAGGTTAGTAACCAGTAAAAATCAAAAAAAAATAATTAATAATTAATAATTATTTGAGCCCGATACTATCACGATAGTATCGATTGTTTTTGTCAAAACATTTAAAAAGTCAATCGTTTGACAGCTTTTGGTAAAAATTAAATTTATCGACAAAATATACCGTGTGATAGGGTCATATGCCCATATATACCGAGGAATTTTGATCTTCGATACTAACTATCGATACAACAATAGTGGAATGCGGTCATACTGTTTTGACAGAGTACCCACCCCTTCTTACTACTATCGGATATCGTCGGTTAAATTTGAATTCAAAATTCCCTCTCCAGAGTAATTCATAGTCGAATTTACACACATTTTGAACTTTTAATCCTAACAATTCCTTTAATCTATGTATAGAAGCTCACAATTCAGATGTAGTCGTTTTATGGCAATTTCTAATTAATTAATTGATATCTTCCGCGTGTCGACCCTGCCAAATGTTGGCTCTGTCCAATGGGGAAGTAAAACAAACAAACAAAAACGCCACTCGGCTCGTTATTGAAATGTATCTTTTCTTCGCTTTTATTTGTCTTCGCTTTATAGTCGTGCTGCTCAATATTGAGTGGCGCGCATGTTGTAAGTTAGACTAGTTTGCTTAGGCTAGGTGGCTTAGCGGACTACAAATATTTAACATTTAACATTTAACAGGCTATTTACAAATCGTCAATCGTCATCTATACACAATTACAATTAACACTTACTTAGGCACTATCGGGGGTAGCGCAGAGTTCGATTAAAAACTAAACGCGCTACGTTCGTGAGGTTTAGGTCTAGAATTAGGTGACTTACGGCCTAGGCAGATCTTGAAAATTGACCCAGTTTCATGTACAGTTACACAGTTACGATTACGAATACAGTTGCGACTGCTGCTAACCAGAGAGCCATTCTCTTCACCGAACGAACGAACGGACGAAGCGGTCGGATGTCCGTCGAAGCAAGCGAAACAAGCAAGCAAAGCTAGCTGGGTAGAGTAGGGTAGGGGTCTGTTTGAATTGAATTGAATTGAATAATTGAATTGCGCATTGCGCATTGGGCCCCGCACCGCACCGCAAACAGGTGGGCTGTCTTCTGACTTCTTCTTCTACTTGTGGCTTTCTGGCTGGACTTCCTTCTATCCGTGTGCGTCTGTCTGTCTGTCTGTCTGTCTATCTGTGCATTTATGGCTCTTAAGCTTAAGCTTAGCGTAAGTTAAAACCTTTGTACCAAAACTACTTCCAACGTTTGTTCTGTTGCCAACACCAATTTGTCCAGTTTACGAGTATGCAAAAAATTTGTTCCCTTTTCGAGCAATCCTTGGAAGTACTTCCTCTTCTATTCTAGTGGGCCTTCAGCTTCTGTGTCAGCATTTCCATATGGTTATTGTTGTTGTTGTTGCTGTCTGCCTTGGCTGCCGTGAGCTTCTGCTGCTTCTCCTGCTGCTGCTGCTGTAGCGCCTTGGACTTCTTGTAGCTCTGCATGTAGAAGTTCATGAAGAGGCAGAAGAATATGGAGGCATTCAGCAGCAGGAGGGCCGAGATGAACTTGGAGAACTGGCACTGGTTGCTGAAGAGGGCGCGTATCGTATGGAAAATGCACAGCACGAACTGAGCCTGTGGGTAAAGAGTAAATAATAATAATAGATATATGTTTATTTGTGTGTAGACTCTGGGAACGTTCTAGCATGGAGTGCCGTGAAACCGGAACACTGGGAAACTTCGCCAGGGGACAGGCGGACCTCCCTCTGGTTGACTCGCATTGACACCTGCCCTCCTCTTTCTGGTCATTGTCGTGGCATTGAAGGGCTTAGAGCTTGTCTCGTTACGGAAGTTGTAACGTCATCCAATTAGCCCGTGTGCGGCCATAATATTTTATTCTCTTGACTTACAGCTCTTTTGAATGCGGCTAATAAAACGACTAATAACTTGGGGTACGGGTACGGGGACGGGGACGGGACGGGTTGTGGCACCCTTGAGCACCCAGCGAAGGCAATCAAAAAGTACTCAGATATGCACTTGAGTACGGCTGAGAGTATGAGTGAGTGCTGTGATGTGATTTGGATTCGTTGTAATTACTGCTTGTACTCTAGGTATTATGTAGTTATTAGATATCCATGAATGGGGCTCGTGGCCTGGCCGATGTCTCTCGATGGCGGCTTCCATTGACCTTTGGCGACCCCAATAGCCCCTCGTGTTTGTAAGTGTTATACAACCCGTATTTAGCTTTAGTTTATTGATCACTGATTGATCGTAAAACTCATGATGTTTTGATTTTGCGGCAGTCTAACGAATCGCATGGTACTCCTCCCCACGGAGCCGCCTCTGAGCCGCCTCTGAGCTGCCACTCGCTGCTGCAAGACCCAAAAACCTGCTTGCCACTGGTTTGCTGTGTGCCACCGAGTGTGCAGTTTTTGATGACCTACAAAATATTACGTTGGTCAGCCAAGCGCTGCAAGTTTCCATTAACACTGCACTGCAAGTCGTGGCAAAGTCACTGAGCCAGCGAACTGCGTCGCTTGGGGCAAGCGTCGGTTGGCCAAGCGGACAACTGAGCTGTGCTGTGCTGTGCCGTGCCGTGCCACTGCCGCAGCAGCCACTGCTGTTGGCCAAGTTTGAGCACTGCTTGTGGCCGGAGCGTTGAAAGCCAGCGCCAACGCTTAAACGCTTCATTGCTGCCACCGGCACTATGGGCACCGGCAGATTAATAGAAAAGGGGGCAGTCCTAGGGGGAGTACTCCATGGGGTACAGGTCAGAGAATTTGTTAGATTTTATCAGTGGATTCTGTTCTGCCTGTGCAACATCTAAAATAAATCTATTTTTTTATTTATTCTTTTAATTGATTTGACTCGCTTGTACCACTGTGCTGTGCCGGGTCTATTATTGTCAATCGATTGCATAATCCATCTTTAGAGGTATTGTATGCTCTGCCTCTGCCACTGCCTGCCACGATTGCGTGTGTGGCATGTCTCTGTCTGCGTCTCCGTGCCGGCAAATAGCCAGAAAAATGCAGTTGCACTTGCAACATGACTTGACCAGACGCGGGACTCCATTTCCAGTCCCAGACTCAGACTCAGTCTCAGCCTCAGTCTCTCCCCCCCAAGAGCAGTCTCGGATCATTGGCTGGCAATTGAAAGTGGCAGATCGCTTGTTAACTTTTACCCAGACACAGACACAGAGGCAGACGCAGGCAGTGGAAAATTGCATGAGTGCATGTGTAGTCTGCCCAGTGATTGCCATCGACAATAGCCGCAGACAACGCAATCGCCGACATAGACACTCACCCGGTTGGTGTGGCAAGTTCGTCGCGGTGCTGGATGAAAAGTGAACGCTCCACTCCACTCCACTCTCGACTTCACTTGAATCGACTCGGAATCAGCTCGGAGCGTATCGGATTGGATCGGTGGCGGGCAACATTCATTGCCGCAAAACGGAACACAAAACACGAAATGATAATGTAATCGAAACTGGTCGGATCGGAGTGGAAGTCGCAGTCGAATTTGAAGTCGGCGGCGGTGTGCACCAAATGTGGAAACTTCGGAATAGGAATTGGAATTAGCCAGGTCTGCTGTGCTTGGTTCTGGTCTGGTCTGGTCTGGCTTGGCTTGGCTTTGCTGGAGGATGTGGCAATATGTGTATCTGGCCACCGCGGCTAGCTAACAATCGGAACTGACTTCTTTCTGGGCCAAAATTTAGAGCATGCGATATATGGTTTTGGCTTTTGTGGCTAATTGGCAATGCCCGGCAGGAACGGAACGTCAAGAAGCTATGGAGGCGCAGCTATTGCGCATGAGCTACGAATACGAATACTCGCATATCCATAACTCTCCCTCGCCCCTCAGCAGTAACTAGAACAGCAACTAGTACTTAGTATAACCGCTTTAACGGTTACAGCAGCAGCAACAACAGCAGCATGACAGATAAATTATCTATAAGATGCGTTTGCCCACTCAACATTTGATTGCGACTCCGCCTCATTATAAATGTCGTGGAGGGGGGGCATGAATGGCGGCTGGTGTGGAGTGGGGAATGGGGAATCGCACAGAATCGAGCGACAAGCAATTGGAAAACATCAAGAAAACAGCTCGGAAACGACTGCGAAAACAACAGAAACGATATACATAGCAACAATCTAAATGAGCACTCAACTGGCGACATATGAGCAAAGTATCATAGGCGCATCGCATAAAACAGGTACAGTAAGAGCTGCCTAAGTGTGATTATAGCGCCCGAGTTTAGTTGGAAAATATCAACAGAATATCAATGCTTTATGCGATTAGTTTTTTGCTTTAAAATGAGTTCTTATTTCCATGAATTATATTTCTATATCGTAAAGAAATTTATGTAAGTTATATAAGAAATAAATCTTAGTTCAAACTTCTTCTTCTTTCCGCATGGGCATATTTATGAACGTTCTGGTTTGTGTGGGGATTCCCCAAGGGGGTTCACGAAATTTACCTAAACACTACCGGTTTTCCACAAGGGGCTTACGGGCGCAGCTCTCCAGGAAGTACATTCTGAACTATCCTTTCCATTTCTATTCCATTTCTGCGCCTCTTATGTGATCGTTTTCTCTCCTATGGAGTTCCCCCTGTTTGCCTCCTGCATTTCCATATAAAGCCAGTGCTTAGTATGTACTTAACTTAGTCTCCGAACGTTTGACAACTCAACTGTGGAGCAGAGAGGCGGCTTCAAGGCAATTCACTAACAAATACAATGGCAACAGCAACGGCAACGACAGCATATAGCATGGTAGAAGGAGGCCAGCCACAGCAGAACAAACTAAACCTGCCATATCTCCATGCGTTTCAAGAATTTCGAAACTTGGAACAAAAATAGAGATAGATACGAGTAGCAGAAAAGCTAAACACAAGCTAAAATGCAATGAAACATGCATACATACATACATACATACATATGTATGTACATAGCCAGCAAAGCTGTCCCCTTCTACTATATGCGAGTACATACATTCTATATACCCAAGTGGTATCTGGTCTCCGAGTCTTTGAATTATGCGTAGCCATATTATGAGGACTGGACTGGACGGCGAGAACCGATCATGTGGAGCCGCAGACAATCCCATACAACAACAGCAAAACGGATGGGAAAAACCAGAAATAAGACAAGATCAGCAGCAATCTCTTGTTTTATTTCTGTGTCTCTGTGTGGATTCGGTTTGGTTTCACTTTTGCTTTTGCTTTTGCAGAAAATCGTTAATCAGAGCTTGTGCAACCCGCCAGAATGCATGACCGATCGCTGGCTAGAAGCTTTGGCCTTTGGCCAAAACAAACAGAAACAGAAACGGAAACCACTTGCAGGGGTCGCAGAATCTGAGTGCGAGAAATGCCACATGCAGTACTCAGCTACAGCTACAGCTAGAAGCATTGGCCAATAGATTTTTTGGTAAAATGCACACAGACGCTGGACTGGGCTGGCATCTAGGAACGTGATTGCCAATATTATGGTGATGGTGATGCGGTGGTGTGTGTGACTTTTGGGCTAAATGAATACCATTTTATGTGGCACGGGGCTTACGGTAGTAGACTGGGGGCCGAGGCAGAGTCAGAGGCACGGCTGGGATTGCCGGTCTAACTGGTTTGCATTTTTGGCCAATTGCCAATAGCTCTAGCAGCTAGCAGCCAGCAGCTAGCATCTAGCAGCAGTCACTAACTTCGAATCTATGTCCGAGAATCACATTTCTGGCATGCCGCCAAACTTCTAAACAAGTTTCGTTTAATTTTCGGGCGGTTTCTGTGCTGGAACCGATCTGTTTTAATGATCCCCCCCCCTTCTCAGGCACGCCCCATTCACCCATTCTCTATCGAGCTTATACTTACGATCTGCAGCTCGGTCATGTATTTCTTCCACCACAAGAACTTGGCGTACTCGGGACCCATGGCGGACATCATGTAATAGAAGTACATGCACACATGCACAAAGTTGTTCAGCAGATTGGGGAATGTGGCATTTCCACCTGTCAAATCAAAGGTTACAGTTTCCCATCGAATATCTGCATGTAGAATGTAAGGCTGAACCCACCTGCAAGGAACTTGACCAGCACCCAGGTCTCCAGGGGCGTCACCGAGTGATGGTACACGTGCAGCCAGGTGATCTGTGAGGATTTCTTGCGCAGCACAAAGAACACGGTGTCGGCGAATTCCGTCAGCTTCGACAGGTAGTAAATGTAGCACAGGTTCAGCATCTGCCAAAGAGATAGAGATAGAGAGAGAGAGAGAGAGATTGGGTTAAGTGGGCTAAGTGGGGTGTTGGATGAGACTGACCTAGCAAGGTCATTCTGCAATTCTCAACGCCCATCGAACGACGTGACCAATTAACGTAGCAACCACAAAAGCAGAAGAACTTGCGCAACGACATTGACAGCATTTTGGCATCGCATCGCATCGTTTCGCGTCTCGTTTGGTTTCTTTTCATATTCATATTCGTTTTCTTTTTCATTTTCATTTTCTTTGTGGTTTCTACGTTTTTCCTGTTTCATGCAAGAATTTTCGGTCGAAAAGTGAAACCATGTCGTGAAGCGGCGCACATGGCGTATGCGCAATGTAAACAATATTGACTTTTATGGCTCTCTCGGAAATGGCTATGATAATGTACGACGGATGCTAATTATGCTAATGCCCAGAGCCCTGTGACTGGCCTTTGTCCCAGAGTTTATTGACTTGTCGACGGTTCGCTTTCGGTATTTTCCGTATTTTCGGTTTTCTGGGAGTTACTGCGGATGTGAAATCGATCAATGGGGCAGATCTTCCGCCGGTTCACACATGGTTTATGCTCTATTGATTTAAAGCTTAAACAAAAAGCCAACTAAAACCACAATTGGCAGCAAACTGCGAATGAAATGGTTTGAGGCCCTTGTAAATGTTGCTAATTTGATTGTAACATTGTAACTCGTAGGCATTAGGCATTAGGCAAGGGCCTTTCCCTCGAGGGGCGTGGGGGCACTCTCAAATGGCTTGCAGTGAATGTCAGATGAAGTACTCTTTGTAGGGGTTCTCACACTTAGAGGAAAAAGTTCATTTAAAAATCAAAAGAGTACCAAAATGCGTACGGATGAGGGAATGTTTTTACTACTCTCAAATTCCCTTTTAAACATTTAATAGACAACTTTCATTCTGTAGAAATCCCTGTGGAAAGAGCATTCATCCAACGGCTTTTATATATATCTTCGGGTTCTACGCAGTGTTACAGTTTTACGAACATTTAAGTGGCTCATTTTGTGGTCCACAGTCAAATTGGCATTAAATGTTGCATTTAACTTTAAGCTCTCATTATCCAACTATTTCTTTAATTGTTTTCCAGTTGCGAGAGTGCTCAACCAGCCATTTGAGTGGCTGAGAAATGGGCAATACAATCGATTGTTGAGAGGCGTAACAAAAGCCTGGAAGCCCACAATTATCTTTAGAATTTGGATTAAAAAAGCACTTGGGCAGCTAATTGGACGCGACTCCCAAGATCTGCTGGCCATTTGAATGTGAACTTTGTGCCATGATTGAGGCATAATTAAAACACTTTGGCCGTAGCTGTAGCTGTTGTTGTTATTCGCGTCTTGGCCGTCTATGACTGGTCGAAACGAAACATAAAAGAAAAAACCAACTGACTGGCTTTGAGCTGAACTCTAGACGCACTCTTGAGGCTTGATTGCTCTTGAGGCTGCTGTCGGAGGCGGTGATTCATCGGGCATAGAGGCAACGAACTTGCGGACTAAACAGCGGAAGACTGACCGCCGCAAGGTGAGACAAAGGGGGACAAAGGAATGATGCCAAATGACATAATCAAATCTATAAAATCTACAAGTCCACGCGTGTGTTTTAAAATAGAACTCGCATTCGATCGGGGATGAGAATGAGCAAGTTTCGATTTCGTGCGGATATGATTGACCGGTTGCGTCGACTTACCCGCTTGGACATGGGACCATCCGAGTAGTCAACCGGTTGGCACTTCAGATTATAGTAGTTCAGCCAGCCGGCCATTAAGTGCTGAATTGGGAACGGGGATTGGGGAATGGGGAATGCCATTAGGGGGATGTACACTGGGGTGGACTCCAAAGTCCGGACTCACCTCATAGAACATATACCCGCTGAGGGCCACCTGGAAGGCATTGTAGATGACCAGAGTGCGCCGGAGCTGGAAGGGCTTGCGGTCGCGCATGAAGAGGGGGCCCAGAACGAGCACCCAAGACAGGTAGATGGCCACCAGGCCGAAGGTGAACATCGGATGGTCCATCAGGTGGAAGCGTTCCGCGCGCGGATCTGGAAATTCAGCCAATGAAATCATCAAATTAATTGCCGCAATCTGTTCACAATTTATTTTATTTTATTTGATTTCGTTTCTTTCTTTTTTTTTATCTATGCAAATCCCCCTAGACGCGCTGGTCCCAGAGCGGGTTCCGATTTGCATTTCATTAGCTCATAGCACTTCGCGTTTTGTTAGCCATTCAATTCATCCAAGCTGAATGAAATCGTGAATCCATTCGAACAGAAATATATGATAACTATTTGCCGGCATATTTCTCTGTCACTGAATGGCGTTACATGTCGACACAATTGGCTTTCGAGTAAACAATAATTGATAAATACTTGTACTCGAACATGAACCGGAATCCCACATGGAAATAGAATATTTCCACTGGCATACTGGCAAAGAGCTCCGTCTGGTAATGTCGTTATAGAGAAGTCAGTGTCGAGAAACCCCCTAGCCCTACTATGTAAGACAACTAATTACAAGCTGCTTAGAATTTTTCCATTGGCCAAACATTTCCACTCCATTGCCTCTGGCTGTTTATTGACAGCAATTGATTAAAGACATTCTAGGGATCTATTTATGGGCTGGCAATTATTCCCCACTAAATGCTGGGTTGGATGTTTTTACTGCAATTATTCAATTTGGATATTGTGACGTCTGTGTGCAATCTTGAAATTGTTTTCTTATTTCTCGGAACCTTTTGATCTGGTTATAGCAGATGAAGGCAATTCAGTCGATTAAAGTGCTAATATTGAGAACACTTATACACTTTTTCAATAAATGTATATTTATCGGGCCCCTAGGCACTGAGCTCCGACCTATCTTAACATATTCCTAAGTATACCCGTACTCAAAAACAGTTAAGGGGTTTATTGTATTTATGGTAAAAGTGGATGTGCGCAGCGTAGAGAAGGAAACGTTTCCGACTCCATAAAGTATATACATATATTATTGATCAGCATCAATAGCCGAGTCGATATAGCTAAGTCCGCCTAGATCTCGGAGACTATAAGAGCTAGCGAAACCAAATTTTCTTTCTATGCTTAAATTGGCTTGCAGTTTTGTTATCATTCATTATTTTCTACGATTTTTTTGCCTGTAAATTCAAAGATTTAAGTACTTAAACATTTTCTTTGACTTCTTTCTTTGAATTTCTTTGACATATAATTTTTATTTTTGTTTAAATTTTGACGCAAAAGTTTCCCGCCAATTACTGTGCTAACCTTTGAGCTTCCTTTAAAACTATTCTTCTTGTAGCCATTGTTTTTCACCCTTGACAAATTTCTAGAAATTTCGCCTTGTCATCGTTTCAAGTTCGTTTCCTAAGTCTTTCGTTTATGGCCCCGCACTTGAAGTGTGTTCGGTTTATTTGCATGATTTTGGCATGATTCAATCTCAGCTGGCTGGGTACACACACTCACACACGGATAGGGAGATACACTATTTGCACTGTTTTCATTTTAATCGCATCTGCCCGACCTGCCATTGACCTCTCACCGGCAACATCGACCGGCGCGCCGTGGCGCGGCATCTGACTTCCACACTGCCACAGACGAGAGTGTCAAGATGGGGCACATGTGCGCAAAGGCGGGAAACGGAACGTCGGGGCAAATGCCCTTAGAGACAGGGGCAATCCCCATGTTGTACGATCAATGCTGATGCACCATCTTCGGGCTAAAAGTGCTGTATTTTCTTAGCTATTTATTTTTTTGCTACATGCTCAGTTGCACACGGAAAGAGCCAGCGGCAAAGGCAAAGCCAAAGGTAGAGGCAGAGGCAGAAGCAAATCTATAGGCAGAAGCAGAAGCAGAAACAGAAGCAAAGCCTGAGCTGAGCTGAGTCGTCGATCTCGACGGTCGCTTCATAAAAATGGCTAAGATAAGCAATGTAAATACATTTTAATTACGTTAATAATTGTCAAAAATACAATTGACATTGCCAGGGTCGCCATTTAACACACTCATACACACACACACACACACACAACACGCGAAAAAAAACCTTTTTTAATTGTCCTAGAAGTTTTGTTGGCTGAGCTTTTGGTTTTACATTTTTTTTGTGGCTCTTTCTTTTTCTTTTAGACCTTTTTGTTTTGCCGCTTTTGTTCGCTTTTATGTACATTATTTTGTTATGATTTGCTGGCCACAAAAAAATGGCAATTCATCATTTTTATGCGTTTATAATATGGCTAAATTTTGACTGAACTGACTGACTGATTCCGTGCTGTTTAAGGCAGATGAGCTGTCGTTTTAATGTGTCCGATTGTAGGGTCTGGGCCTCAAATTAAAATGCAATTTCTATCAATTCCACCTACCGCCATAATCCTCTTCCACCAATTGGTAGTAGCGCTGCACCAGGCCCGTGTAGTTGCGTGAGATATGATGGGTCTTGAACTCATCCAACGCGATATTGGCTATCTCCACGGCCATATCGAAGCGCGAGCTGCCATTGTAGTAGTTGTAGTTCATCGTCATGTTTCTCCTCTGTTGTTGTTGTTTCTCCCTTTTAAGCAATCTTCTCAATGAGCTACTTAAGCTGCAAACACTTTCAGCTTCGTTCCTTATAGACTGGACTATAGATTGGACGTTAGGCTCTCTGTCAAAGACTTGCCGCAGGATTTCTCATGCTGCGCTCAAGCCGAATAAAAAACACTTTCGATCTTTGCTTTGAAGTTCGTGGAGCTTTGTTTGTTGGCTTTCAGCTTCGATCGAGTAGAAGCTGCAGCTTGTGGCACTCTCCAAAGACACTTTTCAACGATGATCGCTTCACAAATTGTTCATATAAAATATTACTAAATGGCTTAGTCGTTCGACGCGCAGACTGGGTTAATTCTACCACCACACCGTAGGAATGTTTATGCTCAACTGAATCTAAAACTTCTCGGCAATCACAAGATAAAGTAACTTTTTCGCGTCGCTGGCGACCGAGCAGCAGCAGCAGCAGCAGTAGGCAGCAGTAGGCAGCAGCAGCAGCAGCAGCAGCAGTAATAGTAAGAGAAGCAGCAGACAGCAGGCAGCAGTTGCCGATCACGACGCCTGGCCTGGCCTGGCCTGGCCTGAGCTTGTGCAAAATACTTAGCAACTACAGCAACACTAAAACGCATACCATCCCAAAACAAAACACACTAATACACTGGCACCTCTCCGACTTCGACTTCGAAAACGCACAGAACAACGGAAGTTTCGTTGAGTTCGCAACGATACGCGACGCGACGTGACGCGAAGCTCAGCGCCGCACTGCATGCAATTGTCTGTGTCTGTGACTGTACCTGCACCTGTGTGTGCCTGTCTGTGCGTGTCTGTGCCTGTCCGTGTGGCCCAGTGGGTTCGTTTTTCGTTTAGTTATTCGCTTGATTTTTAGCATGTTCCGTATGGCATTCAACTTTGAAGTTGCTGCCGCTGCCACTGCCACTGCCGCTGTCGTGCTGCTGCTTGGTAATACTCGTCTATTAGTTGGTGGATCTGCTCTTTAATGGGTCAATGCACTGAGAATTGAATAAAGTTTTTGGAGTGTAGAAATGATAAGTGCTTTGGCATACATTTGTCTAAATATAAACTGAGCTACGGCAATAGATTTCTTGAGCGATATGTTACTGAAACAAGTGTTGGATCCCAATACAGATTTTTTTCTGATATAGTAAATGCTGATATTCTATCCATTAGAAAAGATTTAACCTAACGGTACGGGTGCTAATCAGAAAAGAGGATTAAAGTGGCTTATAGAAATATTTTCAGCTATAAATAAATGCTTACAAGATTACAAGTTTGGAAATTGTGTAGAACTCAAAGTCTTCTTTCCTCCCCTTAATATTCATTCTTTCTATCAACATATCCCTTTTAAAGGATCTCCAAAATAAAAGAGAAATTATGTAGTCTCCTCTCTTACGGAAAAACTTTAAATAAATTGAAAATTCCAAATATTTGCATTACTCCAAGGAGTTAAACAAGTTTTTGGTATTAAAACTTGACTAGCAATAATGTTGCCACAAAGTACTCGTACCTAAGTACACATAAGTAGTTAAAACACGTTCGTAAACATCTTTTATGGTGTCTTACATTGTGACAAGGTATAGCTAAATATTTTGGGGCTGGTCTGGGTATGCCATATTCCTGGACTTCCGCCTTGTCTTTGAATGACCTCAGATGATTGTCTATTTACATATATGTACATATGTGTAAGTCCCATTGATGCTTACAGGCCCGCAGAGCATTCAGTTAACATAACCTGTTCTCGGGCAACCGGCCCTGTAGCTGTTGACTCGGGGTTTGGTAATATTCTAAACAAATTCTCGGCCAGCATCCAGAATGTGTGCTCGCTAAACGTGTCAAGGTGGCATCTACGACTACACAATCTGAAAGGAGAACCAGATGACCTCGGATCCATAATCGATCTGTGTTCTGTGGCGACGTGCAGAAACCTATCGTGATCAAGGCAGAAGGCAGCAGGCAGCAGGCACTGGGCCAAGTGTCATTAAATTGTACAAACTATCGGACGTGCAGTGAAGTCTTCATCGAGGTCCGGGTCTCGAGCGGTAGACATTTATGCGAGTATCTTAATTATGCGACTGAATGCCACATGAACGACACGAGACGACTCCATACAGAACCATTTTCATTTTGTCACAAATTAACGCCACATCAACGCTGCAAATTGTTCTTTGAAGTTCAGTCAGAGCCCCGGTCGACCTTTGGCTTGATTATTTTGGCCATGTTGGGGCCGAAGCCGAAAGTGGCAAGGATGACGACGGCCCCTGCTGTTTCAGTTTCAGTTTCTGTTTCTGCCTCTGCCTCTGCTAACGGTTGAATGCGATTAGCCAAGCTTGACTCCAGCACAGGCAGGCGGCTTCTCTACACTGCTCCACTCTACACTGCTCCAAGTCTCATGGCATTTCACGGTCTAGGTCTAGGTTAGTCGGAAGTTAAAGAAGGCAGCGCCGACTGACTCGGACTTCGATGATAAATGTATGCTTTGATAGCTCCAGTTTTGCTGTGAGTTTTTTTCTCTGCATTTTGTGAATTTCTGTTTCTTCAATATGTGATGTGATCTTTGCCATTGGCGAAACAGCTTTGGCTTCATCACAATCAATAATACATTTTTGAATATGTTGACTATGGGCAATGCTAAATGTTTGTCGCTTATTATTTGCCTGATTAATGGCCCTGGCGCTGACAAGGGTCTGCGCATTTCAATTGGCAATTTTAGGCAAAACTATTATTGAGTCATTTGCAAATGTTGACATTTTGTATTAATACCTGACTTTTACTTAATGCAAATCGCTGTCAAATGCTGGCATTTTCTGTTCACCTTTAGGAGTGAGCAATGGATTTTAGCAAGAGGAGGCACCAGTCCACTAGAAGCGGTGCAGAGAAGTCTCTTAACTTGTTTAAAAATATTATACACTTAGTTTGCATATGAATCAACTATAGCTCATAATTTATCGAACTTCGTTGATGGAAGTGTCTCTAAAGAATATTTGATAGAATTCTGTTAGAGATCCCATGCGGCTTGTGGTCTGTGAGTTGAAGATTCGCTTGGTCCGAGCTCCATTTCAAGCTGCCGCTGCATGCTTGCTCGGTTAATATATATTTAACACATAGAATATAATTAAAGTTAATCAATTAATTAGCACAGATTGGTGGAGGTGTGGGTGGTGTCCACACTTCCAGCCCTCACACCCGATGGGCGTCACCAGAGAATGTTACCAGAGCCCGCACACGGATTGACCCTTGCCCATTGGCGTTTTATTTTAATTGATAACGGAATCTTTTCGAAAGGCTGCCCCCTGGCCGGCCCCCCGATTAGAGGCCAGGCCGTATCGGATTTGTAAACAGTAATTACATTGTTACAGCGGCTTGTTAACGCTTTCCATTAGCTGGGCCGCCGTCATTGAAGCAAAAACCATTTCCAGAAATTTCGTAATCTCTGCTATTGGATTGCAAAATGTTTCATGTCAACTTTTGCCGGCATACGAGTATGCTGGCTGCTTATCGGAAGATCGGGCCATATTTAGTCTTAATGGCGTTGCAATTTGGTGCAGAAAGCCGAGCACGCCCTGACCCTGAGCGTCGCAGAGACAAGACTTCAATTTAAACATATTTAAATCACATGTGCAGATGAATTTCAAGCCCAATATACATTCGCATCGGCATGGCATGGCTGAGCACACAACGCATTGGGCCCTAATTGAATGGGCAAAGCCAGAAGTGACGGACTTTAGTTGGGCAGTTGTGGCAGAATCGGTGGCTCCAGCAGAAGGTGGCACGTTCCCCCCGGTTGTCATGCTCATTGATTTAGAGGCCAAATGCTGGGGAGCTAGCTGGGCCTGCTAATCAATTGGCCAAACTGCTCCCCAAGAAGAGATCGGAGAGAGACAGCTCTGAGAGCGGGTACAGCTGAAAATACTAGTCCGGCACTTGGTCTCGCTCTTCAGACTTAATGTCTCGGGTTTATGAGGCAAGACGGCGGCGGCCAAATGGGAATGTTCTTGGCATCACATGAGTCTGAACTTGAAATCACTTTGATACTTTTTCGCTGAATATTAATTAGGAGCGGGCAGCTAGCGCCAAGAATAGATCCCGCGTCAGCCCATTAGCAATTAAGTTTCAACTTTGAACTTGACACAGTTGCTGGAGCGCGCAAAAAATACACAAAAAAAAAAAACAAGCAGAAGAAACTAGATAAATTAAAATATAAAAATTGTTTCAGAAATTTATTGAAAATTGGCAAAAAAAGAAAAAAATAAATATCAAGACTAGAATTGATAATTATGCATTTAAAGTTGCTTCGACTAAATGAAAACCGCTCTGCGCCATCGAATCTATTAAGCTTTTTAGCCATACTCTTCTTCTTCTGCTGCTGCTGCTGCTAGCCGATCGATCAGGAAACGGAAGTAACGATTTCTTTTTCTCTACATATTAATCTTTTTGTTTTTTCTCTCGTTTTTAGCGCCTGAAACGAGTTCCCCTCAAGGGCGAGCCAACGGTAGTTGTGCGCCAGCAGCTACGACTCGACAAAATTCGATTGATCGAAATAGAGGGGAGAGCGAGAGCCAAGACGAGCCAAGCCGAGCCGAGCCGCCAACTGTATCTCTTTGACTGTTCAAAATCGTATCGGCATTTCCGCGCTGTGCTGGCAAACGAGTTCGATTTGCGCAATTAAAGACAAGCAGCCTGTGGCCAGTGCTTGACTTTATAACAAGATGCTTCGGATGATTAGAACCCTTAGCAGAGTAGAGGCAACGACCCTGTTACGGCACTGGAGTTAGGTAAATGGCCGGGTCAGTGTTACATTGTCAGTTAATCGGCTAATTTGTACGTACTGTACGTAGCTATATCTAATGATAGGTTTCTTTATAATTTCACAGATGAGTGCTATTGATTGTTCGACTTGAAAATGTTCCCAAGGAAATAACAGAGTTGTTAAATATCCTTGCCCGCATTCTTAATTACATATTTTAACCAATACTATTTATATAGTTCTCAGAAGAAGCGTAACTACTGCCAGTTAGATGCACATGTAATACGGAAATGCATGTAAATGCTGCATCTGAAGTCTGAAGTCTGATGAACTTTGAATTTTTATGTTCATTTTAAGTTTCATTTTATTGTTGAAGTAAATAAATGTAAAAGTTTTGATTTGAAAATGACGTGCAAGCCAGTCCAAAGTTGACTAATTTTCATACGACATGTTGTCCCTGTACTATTAAGTACACTGATAATTAAGTCACGCACACACACACAAGCACACACAGTTGATTGATAAGCTTCCAATAATTCGAGTGGGATTCTCTCAAGAATCAAGTTTGGCAAGAATAATAGCTTCTAGTGCTGCGACAGTTATTATTTCTATTTCATTTATTCAAAATTTAAAACACAAATGTCAAACTTTATTCAGCGATCTGGCAGCTCGAGGCGAAGCTTTGAGCCGAGCTTAAATAAACCAACACCAGAGGTCGCCAGCATTGAGCGACTTTATCTCCGATTCACTTCGCGGCAGCGCACATGATTCACCGTTGTACTACTCCATTTTGTGAGTGGGTGGTTCGTGCCTGCCCGAGCAAGCCTCACCAGCATCCAAATCGCGCGCTAATACTCCAAGTGCACCACGAAGACCCCCATAACTTCTTTTTCCGTTCAAGACGTAAATACAACTAAAAGGCTGTCAGCCTTCGCATTGGGTTTTAAACTCTTTCCCGGCTTCCAACTAAAAGAAAGAAGCATTTCCGACCCTAAATATTACATATATGCACTCTTAATGCATTCATATATTCAGCACACGTAGCAGTGTCGCTATAGTTTAGCCCTGTCCATTTTCCCGTAATGGGTATTATAATTTTATCCAAAAGAATTAGGTATCTTAATGGAGATGGGCAAGTGATCCCCATGCAAAGTGAGTGGAAATCTACGAAACTCTCGTGTAATGTTTTGCACTAGTACTAGGAGGTACTAGAATCTTAATGGTTATATATGTATGGCTCATATTCGGGCATTCTTCGGTCGTGTCGTTCCGTGCCCACAAAAGCCAGCACGCTGTCATCTCTACGAAGCAGCCACGCAGAGCCGCTTTAACACTACAATTATAGTTTTAAAACCCTAATTTGCAATTTTGGCTTACAGTACTAAGAGCAATACGATGGGCAGAGCAATAAAGCCGGCTTTAATGCTCTCACGTTGCAAATCTTGTGGCACAGGGCTCACAGAGCACTCAATGGTTGGTCATCGGAAATCGATTTTGGCGGCTCATCCGCCGGCCTTGGGACACACACTCACACAACACACACACACACACACGCACAGAAATCCGAAAAGCAATATTTATAATTAATTTATAAGAAAAAATTGTCCCATCTGCCATTAAGAATTCTACAGAACGTCGGACAAACGAAATCAGCCAAAAGAGAATTTTTTTGCACAATTAATTGTTGTTCGTGCTTTTGTCTACGCAATTTTTTTTTGTTTCTAGGCTGGCCAGGCGGGGAGGGGTACAAACAAATTCAATGATAATTGTTTAACGGTTGTTCGCCTGTTTGGGTTTTTTGTGTCTATGTAAATGTTTGCGGAAGGCATTTGCATAACATGCAGTGGCTCGCGGCTGAAGCCGAAGCCCCTCTGATCGCGATTGAATCGATTCGGCAGTGTTGTTGTAGCAGCAGCAGCGGCCAGAGATAATAAACCAACCAATCTGTTGCATATCATTATGATAAGCTATGTGTCTATGTGTCAAAAGAAAAATGCAAATGCCCAGACCGGAAGAAAAGGCAACGGCATACGCGGCGTATGATGGATTCTGGCCGAAAAGGAAACCTGCTGTTAGGGATTCACCCACCAACCGACATTCACCCACATCTTATGCAGCTTAATCGTATTCGCCGACTGCCACTGTGCTGGTTATAGATTCGCACAAGCTAATCGACAGCGAAATAGACATTGCCATCGCAAGTTCAAGTTCAATTCGCCGGTGACACAGTTAAGCTAAGCCAAAAGTTGAACTGCGAGTGACCCCAGCCTTTGCCTTCGTCTCGGTATTTGTGTGGTCTCATTAACCAGCCAATACCGAATGATAGTCTTGACCCGGAAGTGGCTTTAATCGCTGCGCTGTGATCATTGTGGATCGTTAGAATCGATGGTGAGGAGAGCCCTGGGCCCCCAAAAAAGAATTGGTATGTAAATTATTGGCCAGAGCGCGTGTACCCTTGAATTAACTCGCTTTTAACGGAACTTTACATCTGAAACGATTCAGAATTGTGCCAACAAATCCGTAAATTATTCGGTGCTATTAACGCTTTATGCTTGTTTAAGTCAGTTCGGGCATTTTACAGCTTTTACGTACACAGTGCTGGAGAATTTTGTGGACTGGGCAGTTTTCCGTAATGGCCCAAAAAGGTAAACAGAATTCTTAACAAAGGTACGCATGAGGCCCCCCCGCTCCACCCCAGAGAAACATATTGTTCTAGAGTTTAACATGATGCGGAAAGAAATCTGAAGAGTATTTAATGTGGGTCAAGGCTGATCAATCAAAAGTGGAATAAATCGCAAGCCGAAGCAATGAAAATGGAAGAATTGGAAGAAACAGAAAGGCGACACCAAATGAAAATTTAATTAGCAGATTATTTAGTTAGCAGGTTCCTTTTTTCTTTTAATTTATATAGGTATGAGAAACTATTTCCTCATCCTTTAAGTTAGCCAAAAATTGCTGCAACGCTATATCCATTATTATTGCAAACTATTCAAGAATTATTTATGAACCTGTCTGTACATCCAAAAAGAATAGAAAACAAATTAATATTCTGGCAAAATAAGCCAGCAGCAACTGAACACCGGCAACACGGACGCATATTTATTTAGAGTCATAAACAAACACATGGAGAATTACGAGTATACCCAAAACCCTATGAGCTGCTGTCATCATAATTCTGAATAGCAAAACGAGATCAGGCAATCGTTCGATGTGACTCGATCGCAGCCTCCAATCAAACGGAGCGGAGCGGCCACAAAAGAACGTTTCGGTTCGCAGATGAAGATGAGCAGCAGACGCCAGAGGGCCCCAAAAAACAAAACAAAAACAACAACAAGAAAAAACTGAAACCAAAATCGAAACTGAAACAAAAACAAAACCAATAGAGCCCAAAAAACAGAGCCAAAGAAACAGCGAAACCGAATCGAACCTTTAGACGAAATTTTTATACATAGCGCCGTGCAGCTCGACGTAGCAGTTCAGTGCGCGTACAAGTCTCGTGGGTAGCGGATGCCAGCAAAGGTCTCTCTCCTCTCCTCATATCTACGAAACTACTACCTTAGCATATCAGTCATCAGAAGCAGATGAAGCGAGCAGAGCAAAACTAGCAAAAACAAAAACAAAAACAGTTGTCATGGTGCTAACATTAAGAGTTGTCGTAAATTAAGTGCACGGCAATCGAAGCGATTGCAACAGGTGCCCCAAAAGCTCTCGAAATTGTGTGTGTGTGTGTGTGGGTGTGTGTGAGTGTGTGAGTGCGTGTGTGTGAACAATCAGATCAATCAAATATTTATACATATATCTATATTTAGAAGCAGAAGCAGAATCATAATCAGTGGGAGACAAGAATCTTAAGAGTCTGATGCAAACATCACTAAAATCTTAGAATCCCTAAAACGTCTCCCACAATACCCTTTGTATTTTCCTACATTTCCCTGACAAGGTCAACTGTCAGGTGTTGCATCACATTCAAATTCACACAAATTAGCAATATTTGGTCTGGTCTGGTCTGGAATTGGGCAACAGTTGACACAATATTGTGTGCGTTGGCTTTAGGCGTGGTCAAGGCCCATAACCAAAACCAAAACCAAAAAAAAAGAAGTCCAAAGATCTTCAAGAGAGAGCCGCCGACTATTTGACAAGTGACTAACCAAGTGGAAATGCCCCATTAAATTTGTTGACAATGATCAGCCAGACACGACGGAGCTTCAGGCGGCCAGGTTTTCCAGCGATTGGCACCAGAATTTACACCAAAGATCAGAGATCAGAGCCAGACTGTGGCAAGGTCGTGCAACGATTTTTACCAATTGATAAACTGGATTTGCTTGATAATATATTTGTGGGACCACACCACAAAATTGTTTAGCACCTTTGATGTCGTGCTGTGGTGCTTTATCGCCCCATTTTGCAGCCCCATTCTGTCTTGATGGCTGCAGCTAATATTCATGAGAGCAAGTGCAGGAAATGGCTGGCCGAAAACCACAATGGCCAAAAACCCGTTGATAGACCCGTTGACTGTTGACCAACTTGCCCTTCAAAATATTTATGCTTCATTTATTATCTCAATTTGTTCCTCACTTTGCACACTTCAGATCTCTTGAGATCTCTCTCGAGATGAAAAGCCCCAGAAGTTGATCACAATAGCCTCGAAAACGACCAAAGAAATCGAAAACGAAATGCTTGCGATTGTTGGTAGCTCAAGAAGTTGTTTTCGGTATTTCTATGGCTCTTAATCGGTCTGTGCCAAGTTCAAGTGTGAAACTGGAAGTCAATGAACGTCATTTCATAATCTCGTATAATTAGATGGAGTTGATTGATTTTAAAGAGAATTTTAGCTATCAAAGGGAAGAGAACTCGAATGCAGATCGTAGATGAATTCCTCCTTTAAATAATTGTTCTCTATAGCCAGAGCATTGCGTCTTCGATGCAATTCAACAGATGAACTCCAACCTGATTTTGTTGTTGTTGTTGATTTTAGCTCAAAGAGGAGCCAAAACAAAAAGCTCAACACAAAATTAATTTGTTTCGAGTTTTGGGAGTGAATGTGTGTGTGTGTGGGTATTACGATTACCCGCATCTGCTGTATCTGTCGTTCCACACGTGAGACGCCGTGGCGCCACGGAATCCGACCGTACCAAATTTGCTGGCAGGCAGGCAGGCAGGCCGTGTGGCAACCATCGCCATGTGGTGACCACCAATTTGTTGTGTGTGTGTTTTGTTTGTTGTTTAATTCATAATAATGAATATAATTTACTGTTACTGTTACATGATAATTTCATGACATTTCACCTCCGCAAGCGAACGGCGACAGCTTTCCGTATGGAGTGTACGACCAGACGAAGTGAAGACAAAAGTTTCGGTCACTCTGTGGCCAATTGCTATTCTGTTTCGGCTCTGATTATTATTATTATTATTATATTTATGCAGCTTTCGGATCTCCATCTCCCGGCAACAGTGCCCCGCCATGACAATCAATTACTATCTAGTGGTGGCTGGCATTAACATAACTTAAAATACAAACCTCTTTCGCTCATCCAGACTTAACATCCATGCTTCCTCCCCTTCCCTTCCCCGATATTTAGATTTGGCAAAACTCGTTCGTTCGAACATTGAGCATTTGAGGAACGTTGCGACGCGAGCTTAGCAGATTCTTAAGTTTCACACCGAAGATCCATCACATCACATCAGAACCCAACCCAACCCAACCCACTATACTGCATACGTTTCTTGAGGTTGAGGGACAAAAGAGACATTTAAAAATGGCTGCCGTCAACGCAACGCAAACGGATTATTGGAACTTTCTGTTCATCGAGTTGGCAGGTGAGTCGAGACCCATTAAAGTTATGTAGGAACAGGAACGCTTTGCTCAATGCCACTGTCCGTACTGTCCTGCTGTAGATCCCCGCACCAATGACTGGTTCCTGATCAAGTCCCCCCTGCCACTGCTCGTCATCCTCGGCCTGTACTTGTTCTTCGTGCTGGGTTGGGGCCCGCGCTTCATGCGCGACCGGAAGCCCTTCAAGCTGGAGCGCACCCTCCTGGTGTACAACTTCTTCCAAGTGGCGCTCAGCGTGTGGATGGTGTACGAGGGCGTGGTCATCTGGCAGAACTACAGCTGGCGCTGCCAGCCCGTCGACTGGTCGCGCACACCCAAGGCCTACAGGGAGGCGCGCGTCGTCTATGTCTACTATCTGGCCAAGATCACCGAGCTGCTGGACACGATCTTCTTTGTGCTGCGCAAAAACGATCGCCAGGTGACCTTCCTGCACGTCTACCACCACACCGTGATGCCGATGATCAGCTGGGGCACCAGCAAATACTACCCCGGCGGCCACGGCACCTTCATCGGCATGATCAACTCGTTCGTGCACATCATCATGTACTCGTACTACTTCCTGTCCGCCTTCGGTCCCCAGATGCAGAAGTATCTGTGGTGGAAGAAGTACATCACCAACCTGCAAATGGTGAGCCATCAATAAAATATAAAACATCTCAAATGGTGTGCTATAACTTTTAGCATTTCAGATCCAGTTCTGCTGCGCCTTCATCCATCAGACCCAGCTGCTGTACACGGACTGCGGCTATCCCCGGTGGTCTGTCTGCTTCACCCTGCCCAATGCCGTCTTCTTCTACTTCCTGTTCAACGACTTCTACCAGAAGTCCTACAAGAAGAAGCAGGCGGCTGCCAAGGCCAAGGCTCTGCAGGCGGACAACAATAACGAGAGCTGTGCCAAGGATCTGAATAAGGTGGCAGCGAAGGACCTGGAGCTGATGCAAAAGCAGAAGGCCTTGTAGGCCCAGCGTAGATGTTATACCAATCCCATCCCTCCCCCCCTTTCAATACTCATACAAAGCGGGGCACACACTGAGAGCTGAGCTGAGATCCCATGTTCTATGTGCAACTTTGTTGACTAATTTCTTAAGTAATCCGCCGCCAAAAACACCATACACTCGTCTATTGGAACAAATGAGGTTTTCAAGATACAGATACACAGATACACATATACATATACATGCTACTCGTCGCACGAGTGTGTATGTATATGTACTCGTAAATGTTCAAACAGTTAAAATTGCTTTTTGCAGCCGTCGCCATCATCGCTCGCCTCGTTTGATGTCCGCTCGGGCGGACACCAGATGAAAGAAGTGCTTGTATGTCTTTCGGTCAAAACTGAACTAAGCTACAAGTAAGTTAGGTAAACGCAAGCCCCACACACACAGAAGATGTTGGAGGAGAAGTGTTAGTTGTGTAAATAAATGTAGGTACGCATATGAATATGTTTTCTTAAGGTTTTATATACGCATCGGTATGTAAAGTAGTTATAAACCAAGACAAAAAGATATTTACGTATAGCTAAAACAACAAAACAAAACAAAACAAAAAATCTTACAAATAAACTAGAATTTTTTCTACAAAATTTTATAAAAACAAAAACAATAAGAATGTTTCTTTGTTTGTTCAATGAATGGATTGTTGGGTGGGTCGTCTGCTGGGGTGGGCTCTTGAATCTTCCATAAATTGTGTTCATCTTTGATTCAACTGCAAGATGTGTTCAGGAAATGTTTTTGCACAATTGATCGGCCTAAAAGTGTTTTCAAATAAACTATACACGATATTGCCATTGGATAACATAGCAATGGATCAGAGTGTGGGAAGATGTCTCCTCCTTGCCACTTGAGCCCACTTCCTATGGATAAACCAATTGACGCAATCATAAAAGCATTTGCTTAAGGAACTATTTGGCTCTTGTACGCGTGAGCGCACCACAAAAAGGCAAACAGTATTTGTTTAGGTCACCCAGCCACACCCTTTCCCAGGCAAAGTCTTCTCATTGATAATTATATGGGCAGCACCTGACAGACGCTTAAGGAAATCCATTCTCAAGGAACATACAATATACAATAGTCAGATCAGGCCATTCATTCATTCATCTGCGGAAGCCAACAGATACGTAATCGCAGCGATATTTGAATTTTAATAGGCGTGGCCCCCGAACAGGTCCGAAGGTGGTGTGATGCTGCTGCTGCTGCTGAACATATCCAGTTCTGAGTTCTTACGAGGCTCTGAGAACACGGTCGAGCGGTTTTAGAAGATTGGTCCACTTGCCATCGATAATCGTCTTGCCTCGGTCCGGATCCGCTCATTAGAAGCTCATTTAAAAGGCACCTTGAGCATACGCGCAGAAAACATACGCTAAGCTGTTGAGATGAAGATCTGATAAATTCCACAACCTTTTATTGATCAATCAGTCAAAACGGAACCCAAAGCGGAAGTGGAAACGCATCTTCAAGTGGTGCCAGTCGCTCTGCGGATACAGTATTCAATAAAGCCGGTTTGCTTTGGGCAATTGACCTTGATCTTGACCACAAACACAAACACAAAAACAGGCACAGGCACACAAAAGCCAACCACCGAAAGCCCAAAGCAAAACCTCTTTCTTTTGCCAGCCTGAGGACTGGCCCAAGCGGAGCCAGTTTCATACGTGTTTTATGTCATGATCATCGTAGATCTGATCGGGCTGATTGAACAGTATAGTATAGAAAACTAAGCAGGGTATTCCGAGCACCCAACATTTATTATTGAGCTCTAAATGCTTGAAGCTTTTCCGTGTCCGTTTTCTGGCATATTTATCTACACCCCAACTACATGTCTCCGTGGCGACACCTGTCCGTTCATCGTTCCATATCTTCCATATTAAATATAATTTTTTATATTTTTGTTCTTGTTTTAATCGATCTACATTTCAAGGCTGATGCTGATCATGACCCTCGGTTACATGGCGGCTGAGGGGCATATCTTTCAATGGAAATTCGACATGCATTTTACATGAATTCTACAACTAAAAAAACAGTGCACACTTTTTAGCTGAAAAATTCAAAATGCTTAACTAACTGTTTGTCGAAGATAAAAATCCCCCAAGTGGGTGACAAAATTGTCTAAAAATGCTAAACCCTGCGTACAGCAAAACTTAAACAAATACTCGGGTAAATATCGGAATTCTTTAAATGGCCCTTGAACTTTGACTCGAACGAAACTTACAGTTTTTGCCCCCCTAATCAGCATAAATACGAGTTGGGTATTCTGCAAACGTTGCCCGGCGTGTGTGTGTGAGAATTAATTCGAAAGAGGTCTAAAAAAAGTAATTAGAATTTCTAATTTAGCAATGACCACACTCTCCGCGTCGCCAGGGTGTCTGAGCCGGACCCGAAAACTGGTTAGCAGCCATTGCATAACCAGAAGAGCAGCACGCGTGCCAGGTTCCAAGTTCATGGCTAGGAGCCCACGATGGCCAGAACAGAGCTGGTTCGGAGACTGGGAGATTCAGAGATAAAGAGATTCGGGGACTGGGAGATTCTGAGATTAATCGCGAGGCATTAATCATGCGTAATGTGCCGCAGAAGAATATCTAGAAGATCGCCGATGGCAGATGGCATATGGCAGATCTGCATAATTTTATTTGGGGTGGTGGTATGAAGCGCGTGGCCCGACACAAGAGTTCGGAAATGATTTGGGTATGGATGGGACGCTGGCGTTGTCATAAATAATCGGATGGGGATACAACAGGTTTTTGGCGTTTGTTGTTATCTAATGCGAAACCCGTCTCGAACCGGCAAAGAACAGACACAAAGACCTGGTTTTATTAAAGATAAAAAATCAAAGTTTTATTCAATTTTTCTTGTTTCTTGTTTCCGAGATGACAATTCGAGAAACGATTAACGGCTGCATTTCATTAATAAGAACTCTATCACACACTCGCACGCACACTCGCACACTGAAACTCAAAATCAAACTCAAACTCAAACTCAAACTCTGGGAAAACATTAACACATACTCAGTCAGACTGTCAGACCACAATCAGGCACACTCTTACGATCCTAGCTATTTTTTGGGTTGTAATCTTCGGCTGCTTCGGCATAAACATTATACATACATCATACATCATAGATGGTACGTTGTGCCTGATACCTGCTACAGATGCGTAGACATAGAGATTAAGAGATACACTACAAACTAGACTAAAGCCCCGCTCTACAAAACAATTATTTCTACACTGAAACCCAACCAAACCAGGGCTCGCGTTCATTCCAGCTTCTGCGGCTTCACGCTGTTGTTGTTCAGATCGATATATGGCTTGGCCGGCTGTCCCTGGCTCTGGATCTGGCTCTGACTCTGAATCTGGCTCGGGTTGAGGCTCTGCCTGGGCATGCAGCCCATGCCGCCGGCGGCTCGGAGTGCTGATTGGGCCAGACTGCTGCCGGTCCGAGAGCTGCCATCGATGCCCTTGTTTTTCTTGTAGGTCTTGCGGTAGAAGTTGCCGAACAGATATAGGAAGATGACGGTGTTGCCCACGAAGAAGAAGGTGAGTGTCTTGGGCATGTTGCAGCCCTTGGCGCCGACGGCCAACATGTAGCCGAGGATCAGGACGAACTGGATCAGCTGGATGCTTGTCATGTACTTCTTCCACCAGAGGTACTTCTGGTACTGGGGTCCCATGGCCGCCACCATGTAGTAGAAGTACATCATGATGTGCACGCCCGAGTTGAGGATGCCAATGATGACGCCCTGCTCGCCGGGCGCGTACTTCAGATAGCCCCAGGAGAAGAGGACGGTGATGGTGTGGTGGTAGACATGCAGGAACGACACCTGGTTGTTCTTCTTGCGCAGCACAAAGAACGTCGTGTCCAGCAGGTCGATGATCTTCGAGAAGAAGTAGAACCAGGCGCCCGAGTACAAAGTTAGATTCTGCTCACGTGTGCGATTGATTTCGCACTTCTTCGAGAAGATCGAGGATATCACATTGCTCTCCTGGATGGACTGTAAATGAAGGAGAGAAATGCTTAAATGATTGCTAAGAAATGTATGTTTATATTTGAATATTTAATGAAAAGCTGCCCCCGTTTAATATGTTGCACGAGCACGTTTATAGGGTGCTTATGATGGCTGAATAATACATCAATGGGGAGCCTCAGCAGCCTCTATGATGCCTCTTTTATGATCGGAATAATTATGACGGGTTTTATGGACTCACCGTGCGACACATCCAAATGGAGTAGCACACCTGGAAGGCGTTGTAGAACACCATGATACGCTTCAGATCCATGGGCTTGCGGTTCTTCATGAACTCGGGTCCGATCTTCAGAACAAATGCCAGGTAGAGCAAAACAACACCAACCACAGGCGCTGGCGAACTCATCAGGAACCAGCTGTCCACAGTCTCATCTACACGAAAGGGGTTTCAATGGTTAGCTTGATGATTCCACAGGAGTTTTCCCCCGTATTTATATTTTACTCACCCACGCCCTTAGCCAGGCCGGAGATGCGCTCCTCGAATATCTTCATGTACGTAGTCATTGTGGCTGGTTGTTGCGGGTTTTAGTTTTGTTCCGATTCGGATTCTGCAATTGGCAACTGCAGGAAGGGCGGAAGAGAGGTAAAGAGACTTTAGAAATTTTCGCCCGAAAATCGAAAATCGAAAATTCAGAGCTCGACGTCCGCACGCCGCGTTGCCAAAATATTGAATGAAAAGATATTCTAAAAGCGCGAGTGCTTAGAGAGGCTCAGCACGTTCGAGTTCGAGTCGCGGCTCGAGAGTCGCGGGCTATTGATTATGCTAGCGAGAGGAGCGTGATCCGCATGGGAATGCCAGAAGTCAACTACGCAAACGCGTTATTAATTAAATGTAAGAGAAGTCTTATTTAGTTATCCCATATGCAAAACGGGACAAGGAACGAGGCAGAAAGCAGCCAGCAGCAAGCAGCCAGCAGCAGGGAGAGCCAGAGACGAGGCCCAGAGACAAGGCGAAATCCAAATCGAATGATGAATGACGACAGCGAAACGAATCCAGATAAAAAAAATGAGCTGTTATCCGAGGCTGCTACTGGTGCACCCCAATCCCAATACCGATGACGATGGCATATGATGGCATCTCAAAATCAATAATGGCAAGAGATTCGCATTACAGAGATGAGATGCTGGCTGTTGGCTGTTGATTGCTGGTTGCTGGCTGCTGGCTGCTGGCTGGGTATTTAAGATTCTTGGCTGACCACGACCGCAAGTCAATGGCTTGGAAACCTGAACAGAGCCAAACTCAAGGCTTCATTTGAATTTCTCGCCTTGGCACTAAAGTCGGTCTAACTTTGGCATTCATCTTGTACGAGTATCTATGTATGTATGCCGTATCTCGTATCTCTCTGTTTATATCTTCAAGATACCAGCACACGGCACACGGCACACTCACATCGTTTATGTTCTAAGCATTTACATAGCAGCCTCGATTGGTTGGGTTCTGTTCTGTTCTGTCTTCATTTTTGGGCGATTGTTAGGTTTTGTATTGTTATTCAAATTGCACACGGAACATCGTTGGTTTGATCGAATAAATGTGGATATGGATTCACCGGAATGTATTCAATTACAAATCTTTTTCAGAACTTGTTCTTATGTAACATTAATTTTTGTTTGTTGGTTTTATGGTTTATAGTTTGTAGTTTTAGTTATAGTTATAGTTTTAGAGTCTGTACGTTAACCACTGACCTAGGCAACTCGAACCGGAACTTGAGGCAGAATCTTCTGGAATACTATTAGCGTCTATAATTAGCTGGTCGCCACATATCCAGTTTGTGGCATCGGCGGGGAGATCAAGCGGGTTTCGGGTGCTCTTTTAACTTTGATATATTTATAATTATTTTCCTGCACTCGACTAGAACATTGTGTTTTTTTTTATTATTTGTTGGAAAAGGAACTTTGAAATCAAGGCCTGCTCAGAGTTCGACTTTTAATGACTGTCAAATGACTGGAGTTTTAAAAGTGCACCGTTTCTGTGCTCTAATGTCAGCAATTTTCATGGATCACATGGCGGGTAATTGAATTTGGAGAGTCGCCATTTGCTGCCACCTGCCACCTGCCACTGCCAGTGCCACTAATTGGTTATACACGGCGTGTGATTGATATTTTGCGGACTGCAACCGTGCGACTGCCAACAGCGACTGAGACTGGGTCTCTGTCAGGGTTACAGCCCCATACTCATGCCCGTGTACCCGTGTATACCCATGCCCATTACCATTACCATTCCTATTCCTATTCCCATTCTGTAGCCCATTGCGATGGCAATTCCTAGACCCATTCGTATGCAAGGCACTTGGCATCCATAGATTGACACTGGAGACAGGAAAAGTGAGCTTTGAGCATCATCACGACCAAAAATGTGACGCCAATCGACACGGCGCGTCGTCGTCGTCTGAGTCAGTCGCACTGGCCGCTGACGCTGAAGCTGTCAGCACCGCCTGTCCTCCTGTCATGTCACCAATTTAGGGGCACCCCGAACACCGCACCCCGCCGTCTAGTGTAAGCCTTGCAGTGAGACTTGTCTCTGGTTTTGGTACACTTTTGTAAGCCCAAAGGCCGCCCCGACCATTGCTGGGTGCACGCTGGGACGGACTCTGTCTTCCGGCTGCCCCGCCTTGGGACACTCGACACTAAACAGCTCGACAAATAGGAACAAATAAATTAAGAAACGAACAAGGAGAGGTGGCAGCAGCAGCAGCGGCGGCAGCGGCAACTGCCACGCACGCATAAAATATGTGTTTTGTATGCATAATTGATTCTGGTTTTTTGCCAATTTCATACCCTTTCAGAGGTGCTTGTCGAACGCCTTGTCAGCATTATCAGAATCGCAACTACGAAGTGGGTTTACCCAGCCCCCAGCCAGGTCTCCGCACCGCGTGCTGTACACTCGAACATGGGTCTACCGAACAATTTAACAATCGTTCAGCTTCAGCTTCAGTTTCGGTTTCTGTTTCTGGTTCTCTTTTTTTGGGGCTCTCTGTGTGACTAATGCGAAAAGTACGAGCATCTAAACACCCAAAAGCTGTCTGGACAGTGCGGAAAAGCCCCGCAAAAGGCGTTAATTTATATGAATTTTCAACATGAAACAAAGAAACAAATACGAAATAAAAACAACTTAATTTGCCACTAATTTGGGATCTAATGAAGGCCGTTGGGGGACATTAGCATTAGCATTAGTCTTCTATGCATGGTCTAATCCAAGCACCCAAACAAACCAAACCATCTGTGATTCATTTGCTATTAATGAGCCGCCAGATTGCAGCTTTTGCATGTGTCTTTTGCATAATTGCATTTGCCAAATGCATGCCACAAAAAAAAGATCTTAATATTTTGTCGTCAAGTGTTGGTGTTTGACGAGCGCGCCTCTTGTGTTCGGATATGAGCGGATGTTTTCCTATGGATTATCGTCATCGCAACACGATTTTCACACGCATTTGTGTTGTGTAAATGAAAACAATCAGCGAGGCATGTGAAGTTCCCGAATACATTAGCCCCCATGGCGGTAGGGTATCAGCAGTGTATCAGGCAGAAGAACTCAGTACTGTAACTAATTCTTAGGGTATAGGGTCGAGTCGGGCAACCCTCGCTGGCACGTTCTGACTCGTTTCGTTTCGTTTCGTTTTGGGGTTTCGAGAGGAGGGAGTGCAACAGGTTAATCATTTAGCTCTGGCTGTGTCAAGTGCATATGTTTTATGGTTTCGTGCTTGCTTAGCGCAGTAAATTAATTTTTTTTTTTTTCTGCCAGCCGAGGCATTTACAGAGGAGGCAAGCCAGCAAGCCAGTCAACCCATTCCGTCGAGTCAGCCGAGCACTTGGCAACTATATACATATGTGGGATATATATATCCACACATCCAAATCCAAATCCATAGCTAACACAAGTCAGAGTCAGGTTCGGTTCGGAGTCAGAGACTCTTTGGGCAGACGCTCCTCTGACAATCTTTAATTACTGGGTAAATATTTGCAGCGTTAATTGGATTTTTTTTTTGTCTTTCGGTGTGTTTTTCTTCTCTGTTTTTTTGGGAACTGTAACGGATGGATGGAATGGCTGGCAACTTTTGCACGGGGAACAGGCACAAATGGTCATCTAATTTGTTTGCTTAACCATGACTTAACGACGGCTGGCGGGGTCGGGTGCACGCAATGGAATGATGGGGTGCAGATGGAGGCCAGGCACCTGATGCAGCTGCAAATTGAATTGCAATCGATTACAAGTTCAGAACGTTTAGTTTTGGCCGCCTCAATGCTGCCCGAGTCTTGGCCTTGGCTGACTGGCAAAATTGCAGCTCCTCAAGCCAGTTTTCAGCATTTAATCTATGTGCAATGCATTGGGTTAAGGCCGACTAGTAAAAATCTCAGACAGACAGCGGTCCCCAGTCCCCCAGCCATCAGAGGAGTACACTGTACACAGTCCAGTACACTGTCCAAAGAGCAGCAAAAACAAAAGTTGGTCAAGTCGAGCGCAACGTTTGGTCAGGCGCCACTTTTGTTCTGTTGGCTGGGCAATTCAGTTTCAACCGATTTGGGTTAGGGATTTGGGTTCCATGCCGAAAACTTGCTCTCTAATTTATGCAACACTTTCACACCTCACATGTCCCCCTCACACAAAAATTCAATCACTTCCGTACCTGTTCTGGCCGCTCTGTGGATGGCTTCTGCCTGTTTTTCTGCACGTCGTACGCGTTTGGGGTTCCCTCCGAGGAATCAGCTCACTCACTCACACACGCCGCACGCTGGAAGAGATTCGGACTCGACTGGGGCCAACGCCAAGAAGACACTAATATGGAGTTCTACACGCTCGGCTGTATAAATAAACAAAATGTACGAGCTTCGCGGGCTCCGGGCCCGGGCTGGCCATGTTTTTGCCGCTGACGTCGCTGCTTGCTGCTTGCTGCTCTGCTCTGCTGCTGGCGTCGACTTCAGCTGCGCCGTTCGCTATACATACAGATACATATATGTATGTATGTTTGTATGTACAGTGTACACATAGATATAGTATATTCTCTGTCTGTCTTTCGACCCGATGCCAATGCAAGTCGAAGCCGCGTTAATGGCCAATTTTAGTTTTCAGTTTTGTTGCTCGGTTTTTCAGATCTCCGGTGGTAAGGTCAAGTTTGAAGCAATTAAAACGAATGTGTTGGCCAAAAAGAAAGCAAAACTGCTGGCTCCGCTTTTCTGCCACTTCTGTGCTTTATTTTGAACAAGTTTATTAACCCTATCCCCCAAATTGGCCAACAAAACATGCAGATCCTATCGCAAAGAAAAAAATATAATCAAAAAAAAGGCCAACCCGCCCCAAAAGAGAAACCGAAAACGAAGACGGAGACGCAGACGAGGAGAAAAGGGGGATAGGCGAATACGAAAATAAACCGAAATAATGTTTGGCTTTAAATTAACCGCTAGACAATTGATTTATTATCGTTGTCACGTCAATACAGTCCACACATTGGGCCTGAGTCTGACTCAATCGTAGGCTTATATGACACTCGTCACAGCCCCATCCCCAGCCCCAGTCGCAGCCCCAGCCAGACCTGACGCGGACACTGATTCGTCTTTATTACGGTCTATTTACTTACGCAAATCCATCCACTTAGCACATCCATCCGCAAGTATTTTGGGAAGCACTTTGCCGCTCCATTGATGGGATATGATGCGATGGGATGCGATGGAATGGGATGGGAAATTTCAACTCACTTTCCACAAATGTCGGTCAGGGGCCGGCCGGGGCCACACCCACGTGCTAAGTGTCCGTGCAAATGTTAATGTTTACCCAAGTCCGTGCACTTTCCGTCTGGCGTCCGGCGACTCAGCGGAACAATCTTCCGGGTCTTTAGCATTTTCATGAAAAAATAACAAAAACACGCACTGAAAATGGCAACAAAATAGCCGTTTTGCATTTTTTTTATCGCTCGTTTGTCATTCGAGCGTCGTGTATATTATCTGCGTTTCTCTTTTGTGATATTGTGATAAAGACCCTGAACTTCAATAAATTAATATAATCGATTTTGTACCGCTAGCTAGAGTTTATGCCAAATCTCCGTTCGATCCTTGGCCAAGTTTCTGACAGCGCTTATCAGAACGACGAGTCGAGAGCACACACTCCATCGCTTAACTAACGTTAATGGCCTAGTTTTTAAGGTGAACCGAAAGAGTTCAAGTTTATTCTTGGCCTTTGTTGGGGAAGTACCCGCTGGCAAAGGTATATGAAATCCAAGAGAGATTTTTTTTGTTAGATTGGCTTACATTTTTTAGTACAAGCGGCTGGAAATGCAAGGTGTATTTAAAGATCTTTCTAATGAAAGTACATTGTATTGTTTGCCATTTGCTGGAAGTCAGTAATTATGCAATTAGGAATGGAAACATTTGTAAGCGCACAAAATTATACGCATCCAAAATAGACTCTACATTGCCATTGCTATTACATTGCTATTAGGCAGTGATTTCATTATTGGCTCAAAAGGCGCTGCTAAACATTTTGTATTTTTAAATATCCCCGCCATCTTTAACATATAATTAACATGGCCATTTCATGTTAACTTAACAGCAGCTACATCGCAGCTGTCTGGCAGCTGGTCTCGTTAATCGTTATCGCATAAGTGTTACCGTCTCTTGGCAAACAGTAAAATCCAAAAAAGAGTGTAAATATAAAAAAAATACATTTGGCAGTTCTACTTGTATCCGATGCATCAGGTTATATTATACCTATATTATATACTTTACGGGATATTTTGACGTCGAAATTGAGTTCAAAGTATATTTACGGTATATCGGTATATAAAAGTATGGAATGAAGATTCATTGTTGCGACATTAATATGTATCCGGACAGTGATCACTTTATTTACAGATAACAAATCAAATGCATAAATTCATTAATAACATTTATGATTGATTGAAAGAAAAAAGGTATACAGTGACGGAGTGTGACCGGAGTTCACACTTACGTTTTATACTTTGGCCGATTTTGTTTGAGCCCTATTATGTTACCAATCCAATAAAACGGAGTTCTGAAAACTACCCAATCTTGTACCAAATTTATTGAGGAATTGTATAACATTATTTTTTTAGTGGCTGAGAGGGCTAACTATCTAGTATTATTAAACCGAATATCAAAATCGAGGAATATCAACGCATCTTGCCGTGTCCGTCAGTATATTTTCGGTATATTTTGGTAATGAGCAGGTGTATTTCGATTTATTTTGGTATATTTCAGTATATTTCTGATGGTTGTTTGGTATATTTGATCGAAAGGTCAGCGGTCACACTGGCGTCAAAAAAAAAATAGGTTCTGCAAAAAATTTAATTACATTTTTTTTAATTGTTTACTGGGGCAAGTGGTTACTTCGAAGGTCCTTTGGAGTTACACCCGCAGCAGCTCAAGCTTCAGGAAGCGCATAGATATGTAAGTGACGTGACGCATAGCGAGTGAGACCTTTTCCACTTCTTAATTGTTGTGGCCGTGCTGTCCCCAATGGTCTGGGAAAACTGAATTGTGTGCACTGCGCAGGTGACGTGAAAAAAGTGCATCCAAAGTGTCGTTTGGTGGCTGTCACACGTGGCCTTGTGGCTGAAGTTCTCAGTGGGTGTCATGTGGCTGTTATCACAGAGTTACCCTGGAGTCCTCGTGACACCTGCCCCCACTGTCCCTGCTGTTGTTGGCAACGCTCTGCCCCATCTTATGTAAAGATTTAATTGGCAGCTAACTCGCTAACTGGCATATATGCACACCCATACTCTTGCCAGGCATGTACGCTACAGAACCGGCTGGGATACAAAGGTCACTTGGACTGTTGCTGGCAGCCACATGTGTATGCATATAAAATATTGGTATTGCCGCACTAATAAAAGCAATTCTCCTATCAAATTCCCATAAAGCAAGCCGGCCATGCTTTTGAGAATGTGATATCGTAAAAAGTAAAAATAGTCGATCCCATTTCACTTGGAAAACTTTAGTTTCTGTTTCTAGTTTAATTAGAACTCGTAAATTTCAGAACTTTTTGTGTGGGAGGCTAAAGGGACTGCACTATCATGGAATCTGCTACGAATCTGACGGAGCGCAAGAAATCGGTCAGCGATTTGTCTGCCGAGGTGGAGGAGACCTCCACCGCAACCACTGGCCTGGACTCGTCGACCACCGCAAACACAACGGCCACACAACACGGCAGCGATGAGGCCGAGGAAGACATCTTCGAGCAGGTACAAATGATTCTTCGCAAGCGACGCGGCTGGGGACCGGATGACTCTATCAGCACCAATGATCTACATTTGCTGGAGTACGACGATGAGCTGGGCGAGGAGGACGATGCCGGATGCCCACTGCCCTCCACACCGGAGGACACACAGCTCATCGAGGCTGAGGTGAGTTGATGTTGATCTGTCGTTTGAGTCCGTTTGTGTCGTTTACGCTAAACAGCTGTGCAAAAATCATTTTACGCAGTCAAGAGCTGTGCTCCCTTATCGCTGACCCGGCGGCTTCTTTCCTTATCGCCTTTTTGTTGGTCGCACTCCAGGTATCTGCAGTCTTTTGAATGTCGTGTTCGACGACTGCTCTTATCGGTGGAACTATTGCAGAGGCCCACAATGTGGCCATTGCCTTAGTGCCGCAGGTGGCAATTGCAAAAGGTATAGAACATTCGACACATATACTTCACTGGAAATGCTTTAAAGAACGCTGAGAGCATTTACCAATCGACCATTCCATGGAATATTATAGTTCACTCCTCGATACTTTCAATCGGTTCCGGATTAGAGGGGACGAGGGGCGGCTTAGCCCGTACACTGTGGGAAAAATAACCAAACGACGTCAGATGTGGAGCTGATAATGGGACGGGACGGAGAGAGGCAGCTTCGGGCGCGCTATCTTATCGCCAGGCGCATTTGTCGTCGTTTTTGTTGCTCTTGTTGCTGTTGTTGCTGTTGTCTTGTTCCGCCAACAAAAGTTTATACAAACCGTTTTAACTAAGTATGCGACAGTCAGATGCTTCAAAGTAGAATCGCTCGTTGTGCCGCACACTCAGATTTAGTTTTCAAACGAATCTCTGTTTACCGCTCAAAATGCCAGACAAGCAGCAGTCCCAGCTGGAGGTTGTCTTGAGTGTGTTGGACCCGGATCTGGAGCCGAAGAGCGATGCTTCGATCGAGGACGCCGCGAAGAAGAACCAGAACGAAGATTCAATTGAGTGTCAAGCGATCGATAAAGACGTCAGTCCCATTTGCTTTTAGTTTAAACGTTTTAGTTTGTGTAGTCTAAGCTTTTGTTGTTCATATCCGGTTTGAAGCATGTGTAATTCCCGTATCATTTCCTTCCCTTAGATGACGGAAGTACTGAAGGCTGGTGTGCTGTCCGACGAGATCGATTTGGGTGCATTGGCCCACAATGCCGCTGAGCAGGCCGAGGAATTTGTACGCAAGGTAAGTACTTTGAATAATGGATGAACTATGGCTCAAGCGGAACACCCCCTTTTCATTGTTGCATTCTATTTTCCTTTGAATAAATATGTAAATAATTTGTACTTTGTTTTTTTTTTATACTCTGTGTTGAAACTATGCCCCTTTTAGCCACTGACTTGAGGCCCTTAACCCAAGCCCAAACTCAAACCCACCCTTTGCCTTTTATTCACAAGTTCACTAACCGTTTATATTTAACTTTCGCTGACGTATGTAGGTCTGGGAGGCCAGCTGGAAGGTGTGCCACTACAAAAACCTACCAAAATGGCTACAGGATAACGATTTTCTGCACCGCGGTCATCGCCCACCGTTGCCCTCGTTCCGGGCGTGCTTCAAATCGATTTTCCGCATTCACACGGAGACGGGCAACATTTGGACACATCTGCTGGGCTTCATTGCCTTCATTGGCGTGGCAGTTTACTTCATTACGCGTCCCTCGGTGGAGATCCAGACACAGGAGAAGATCGTTTTTGGCGCCTTCTTTATTGGGGCCATCGTCTGCTTAGGATTCTCATTTGCTTTCCACACACTAAGCTGTCACTCTGTAGAGATGGGGAGATTATTTTCAAAGTAAGTCCCGAACCCGAACACCATCGAAAATGTATTTTTTTGTTTGCTAATTCTAATGGAATTACCCACAGGCTGGACTACTGTGGAATTGCGTTGCTTATTATGGGGTCTTTTGTACCTTGGCTGTACTATGGTTTCTACTGTCATTACCAGCCCAAGGTGATCTATCTCTCGGTGGTCTGTGTACTGGGCGTGCTCTCTATCGTTGTCTCACTGTGGGATAAGTTCTCGGAGCCAGCATTTCGTCCACTGCGCGCTGGCGTTTTCATGAGCTTTGGTCTGTCCGGCGTCATTCCAGCCATTCACTACAGCATCATGGAAGGCTGGTTCAGCCAGATGAGTCGTGCCAGTCTGGGATGGCTTATCCTCATGGGTAAGTTGCCTATACAGACGATTTTTTGAAGATTAAATCTAATTTTGTCTCTCTCTATTAGGCCTTCTCTACATAGCCGGTGCCCTGCTGTATGCCCTACGTGTTCCCGAGCGTTGGTTCCCTGGAAAGTTCGACATTTGGGTACGCTTTTGGGTTATCTCTTGACATAAGGAAAATGCTTGACTCAATGTTAAATTTTAATTTGCAGGGACAATCGCACCAGATATTCCATATCCTTGTGATTGCTGCCGCGTTTGTGCACTACCATGGCATCTCCGAGATGGCCATGTACCGTGTCATGTACAGCGAATGCACCGTGCCGATTGAGCCTATTACCTTCTAGAAGCTGATGTCGATACTGAGGATACAATCATACAATCATATATACATAGAATCCCACACATACGAGTATATTCACATACAAATTACTGCGACTTAGCGCAATTTTACAATGCAACCATTTTTAGCGTTTGGTGAGCATCTGTACCTTGTTATACGAATAGATGAAAAACCGATCCATATTCCAGACATAATTTACGCACATTTATCATCCAATTCAAAATCGTTCATTATACAAAAGGAAAATCTAGCAAAAGTTGATTATCGAATGAAATTTGCAGTAGAGTAATTAATATATGTACAACTATTTATAAAAAATTCCAATTTCGTTTACTTAATACTAACTTTAGTTGATCGAAGGGATTGTTGCTTGGCCAGGTGGGCGGGGCAGTCATTGCCACATGACATTCGCTCGGGGTTACTAGAACCTTTTGAAAAGGCAAAAAGAAGGCAAGCAAATTCCTTTTTTTATGTTATACAATTAGATGATCTTAGAATCGTTAGGATTACAAAACAATAACAACGTTATAAGAGGTCTAAATATACGTTCAATTCGAAATTCAATCACACATACTCGTATCAGTGCTTGTTTTCACAGCAGCCACCATCCATCATACACATATTTTAGCATATGCATGGCCGATCTATTACCAACATAAGCCAAAGTGCAACCAATAAATAAAGAAGACTTCTAATTTGTATTTGTATTGAAAACTGATTTCAAAGCGCGTTCTACAGTGCAGAATCTCAGCCAAGGAACATTTGCTAATCATAATTGTCCATCATTAAAGATATGCATCTGCGAAATTTGCTAATATTTATGTATGTTCGACTTGGCAACGGTTGCCATCACCCTAATGCCTTGCCATAAATATCGTCATAGAGAATTAGAAATACGCGCCGGGGTTATTAGTTTAGTTCAGACTGGCGGCGCGAATTTGGCTGGCGAGGACAAAGCAAAGCATTTTGTTGCTGATGACTGGGCGAATGTGAGTGTTGACTTTGACCCCCTTGATGGAGTGAGCAGCCCCCTGAGTCGTGGTCTAGTCTTGAGTCTGCCTCCCACCGCTGCCTTGTGTTCTATGTACGTGTGTACGAATATGTGTGCCAGTTTCCATTATCGCAACTGTAGATCATTAAAAATGTTTAGCCTTTTTGCGCAAATAATCGAACATTTGTACAAGTACTTGAGAGAACCGCGCACGTGCAAGAAGGAGTATTTGCAAAAATTCAAGTTCAACGGCAACAAAAATAGAGTCAAAATTGCTTGTTGAGGTGATTCAAATTTGGCCAAAATCTGTTCCGATAGAAATGTTTCAAATATGCCTTAATGAGCAACAATCATTTGCATAAATTAAGGCTACAGTGAGGCTTCGTTAAGTTAAAAGTTAAGTCACCAAATTTGTTTTAAAATTATATATTTTCAATAAAGTAAGGCCTCACCTTAGTTTGACTTATCTTCCCCATTTTAACCATTTACCATTTACAGATTACTAAAACGGCGATGCGTATTACGATAAACGCAGCTCTGTTGATGGTTGGCTGTGATCCATGGAGTAACAAGCAATGGTTCAGGGCCCATAAAACACCCCAAAAGAGTGTTTTATTTACCCGTTCTGAATAAATGCAAATCAACTGCCTACAAATCGTTGCCAGATGGGGAAATATGTGTCCATGCTTCAGTTTGTGTCTCAGCTCTGTTTTACATGTGACAACGAACTGGTTTGGCCGAACCGTCGCCTCAGTCCAATGCGGTTTGTGGGTGACTCTTATAACCCCAACACTATTGTATCGTCTGCTGTGCTTTCACTTTCAATTACACGATACACTTGTACTCTTACGACTACCCAATGCACGCCACGCCACATGCTGTAGCTGTACTCGAATTACTTCTCATTAAACATAATTTGACAATTTGTTCGGGTCAGGTGTGGGACCTGCTCCACTGCCCGCTGGGCCAGGCCAATCAATCCGGAAGCGCCGGAAGAGAAGACATGTGTGCTGGATTCACAATCGCGATTGGGCTGTCATCGTCATTAAGGAGTTGTGAGATGTGTGTGATTTGTGCTTTGTGCAGTTCAATGTCGGCAAAACTCGAATGCGTCTGCTGAGTTCAGGCCGCCACCCAGTTTGGGCTCTTTCGGCTCTTTATTAATGGTCTTGTGCAGTAGTTGCCTTTATGCGTTAAATTCAATAAACTGACTCTGACTCGGAGTTCGAGATCGAGTTTGAGTCTGAGTCGGAACCAAGAGACTCAGACTGAGGCATAGACTGATACTGCTACTGCGACTGAGACTAACAAGAAGCAACTTGTATTTGAAGGTTTTTGGCGTTTAAGTGTTATGGTCAAGGCCGTTGCCAGCATCCGCTGTGTGTCCAGTTCGTTGGTTCATTGATTTCCAATCAGCCTCAGTTCACCTCGGACTCATACTCTCATATGTATGTACATATGTATGTATACTTACCAACTAGCCAACAATTGTTGGGCTTGCTGCGTTTTTCCCCAATGTTCTCCAACTGTTACGCACTAATTGAGTTTTAATGTACGCTGGCGATTGCCACAAAAAGTCCAACCAAAATTACATAATCAAGAGTAGAGTGCAGACAAAAAAGAGCGCAAAGAATGTTTTTGCTCAATACTCTAATGGGGCAACAGGCAACAGGCAGCGGGCAGCATTTATTCTTTCAGAGTCGAACATCAAATCATTATCATGCAAATTTTTGGATATCTTGTCAAGTTCAAAAACATTAAAAGCGTATAATGATACCACATACACAACAAAGATATTTATTCCTATTCACCACCCCACACCCCCCCCCAAATCATATCCAAAAAGTGGCGGCCAGTGTGTTTTTTTTCCTATTTGCATTTCGTTGATCTGTAGTTTTCCATGTAAAGATGCTTTGAAAACAAAAATAAATCAAATCAACTCTAATCGAATAAGTCGTTAAATAGCCGCATCTGTATCTGTATCTACATATACATATATAATAAAATAAAATAACACGATGCTGGGGGGCATTGCGGCAAGTTTGTGTCCGAAGTCTTTTGTTTCCGCCATAGGCCAGCCAGCGGCGGGCGACATTGACTTTGAAAGCGATTGAATTCGATACAAAGTGAAAATTCGTATTGAACGTGTACGGAAATCGACGCAGAAACAATAGACTGATTGATAAACTGACAGGGCCCGAAAATGCGTATGGAAATACATACATACAAACATACATACATATGTAGATGATATTTGGATTCTTGGCGATGACTGGCTCTGATAACGTTTTGGCACGCCTTGAAATGGGTTCAATCCGGGGCTCGTTAACGTAACAAAAGCTGCGTAGAATCTTCCTCAAATTGCCAAAAAAATATTTAGCAATTGAAATGAGCCGCCCACAACAACAACTACAACACCACCCAAATAAGATTCAGGCACGCGTCAGGCATGCCAACGGCACTGGCCTTCGGAATGGCGGAAGCTTAAACGAAGCTCAAGCAGACGCTGACGCTGAATTGAGTACGAGAGTATCCACCGAAAACATATCCGAAACCCCAAAATCTGTGAATGAATTGATAAAATTGTATGCTTTTATGAGCTGCACTTGCAGAGGGGCGTGGGCGTGGAACATGACAGCTAAATGAAGCCTGAATCGCTGAGATTTTCATTCCTTTGTGTTGTTTCTTCCGATTGAGCAATTAGCAGTGGTCCCAAATGGGGAGGCCTGGTAGCAAATGTCAGCCAGGTCTGCCAAGCAGCTGTAAGGGTTTCAATGTGTAGGTACTACAGCAGACAATGCAGTTTCCACTAGTGACTGCTACTACTACGAGTGTGAGGAATGACGCGGCTAAAATGTGCATCAAGTGGCCATTGGAGACCTGGCTGCCACTGCTCTTTTCTCGTCAGCCCCACCGCCAAACGTTGGCTCCGGGCAGTTTGCAGCCATTTAATTGCACAATCATAAAGCACAATCCCATTCCCACTCCCAGTCCCAGCCCGGCCCACAGATGATAAATTTACTGGATACATTTTTATGATTTGGTTTGGCCAACTGCACAGCATTCTCCAGGCGGCAATCCACATTGGATTTAAAAATAGTTTTATTATAGGAAGAGGCGCTTGTTAATTATGATCATTATTATCGATTTGGAATGCATTTTGTGCATAGATTTCAGCGCCAATAAACATGACGCTTGATGTTCTTATCGCAGATCCTAGAACAGGCCCTCAAAAACATGCAACGGCTGAGAATCAGTGCCAGACACCGCTCCGCTTCGAAAGCAACTAAAATCTGATGGAACATAGCGCTGGCAAGCTCGGATCGGAGCAGATCGGATCGGATCGGATCGGCAGAGATCGGGTCCCATCCGAATCGGAATCGAAGTCTGAATCCGAATCGCAGTCGTCTGTGTCGTCGGTGTCGTCGGTGTTGTTGGCGTTGTTGGCGTTGTTGGTGTTGGCTTTTGGTCGGTTTCGTGTCCGTGTATCTGTGTCTGCGGCGCATAGAAGACGGCTTGTAGGGCCCGGATATCGCTTAGTCTGAAGTCGGCGCCTCAACCCTCAACAGCCCAGTGATCGCTAGGAAATCGTAAAGCTGGCCGAGATCTGCCGCCTCGTGTTGTGCTCTGTTCTGTGCTCCACTCACTGTGTTCTGTGCACCAAAAACGTCGCGCTGATCGCCTTGAATCGAGTGTGAAATATTGTCTCGAAGGATAACAGAAAGAGTTCCCCCGTTTTAGTGTTTGTTCTTTTTGCGGGCTTTGGTGGGAAGTGAGTTCATTCCATTCAATATTTCGTAACGTAACCGAAAGGCAAGTGCTAAAGTACCGAATACTCATCTCGAACAATGGAGAATTGTGTCTAGATTTTATGCTAAGTTATGCACACACGTTTGGGTTACTACTAGTAAATAAAACAATTCCTGGCCTGGCCTGGCCTGGCCCGGCCACCTTTTTGACCAGCAACCTGTTAACAATTTGAGACATTTTTGGGGTCATTGCGAAACGAAAAGCGAACCAAGCCACCCGGGAACGGACGAATTCAAAAGAAAAATACAAACTAAATATTGTATAAATAAATAACATGACGATGGCCAACAGGCAATAGCAGCCATAGCCAGCCCTCGCGGAAAAAATGAGAGACGGAGTAAAAAACGGGCTTACAAAACCAGCTGTAATACTCTGATGCGCCACGAAGATGGTGCCCCAGCCAGCCCAAGCCCAAGTCCATCACAACACCTCACAGATGTGTGGCTCATATGTAAATCGCACAGCGATTGATCAATTCTGTATGTTATTGTAGTCCCGTCCCGCGGATAAAGCAGATGAAGATAAAATGCAGCAGCAGGCGAATATAGCGACAGGTTGTGTGTCGGTGTGTGTATGTGTGTGTCACTGCCACTGCGGATGCTGTTGCATTACCGCATACCACACGCAGCAGCATACGCATACTCGTAAAAGAAAACTGACCAATTTCACGGGGCATTATGTGTTATGTCATCGTTGATCTCCCTTAGCCCTGAATTTTGCGTTACACTTTCGTAGCAATTGCGGCACAAACCGCCATCAGAAGATGTGCTAAACGAAGAGATACACAAACAAAACTCGTAAAATCCACGAAAATCCCCCAGAGACTTGAGTCGTTCGTTTGCGTTTATACTTAGAGGAGAGGAGAGGAGAAGTTGTGACATGATAAGAATAGAGCGGAAGTTCGGCATAGCATTGGCACACTGATACACATATCACACTTCCCATACACGAGACAGTTATCAAGTTAACAATTTTTTAGGGAAATATTTATGATCTGGTTGGATTTGCCCTTCGTCAGAGCCGCTGACGTTCACGCATGCGCACAATTTGTTGATTTACGATTTTATTGTTGTTTTCATGGCACAAACAGCCAAGCCAACGGTGACTCTGAGGGATAGTTAGTCAAGCAAAATTATCTTCATATCACACCCAGACCTCAGCTGCGAACTGAGAGCTGCGAGCTGCGAGCTCCGAGGTGGAAGATCTGCGTCCACAAATGGTTACTGCTGCACATCCGTTCGCACATCGGTGGCGGCGGCGTCGGCGGCGACGGTAAAAGAAAAACGCGGGCGATGTTTATTGTCTCTTGGGTGACATTTTTTTTTTTGTTTTGTTTTTTTTTTTGACATGGCAAATTACATTTTAATATTATGAATCCAATTGGGGTCACATGCGTCGTCGGTCACACCAACAATTAAAGCAGAAACCCATCTAATTCCCACCTGCTTTCGGCGTTTCTCAATTCTTCCTCCGGCCGAGTGAGTTTTGGAGTGACTTATTTGCCCAAGCGGCCAGCAGCCATCAGACAGCAGCCATCACCCTCCATGTTTGGCCAGAGAAAAAGATTTAATAATAATGGCAAGGTAAACAAAACGTGAGGCAGAACAAGGCGATGGCTATGTGGACGATGATGATGTTTGGTGGAGGTGATGACAATTGCAAATATTGGAGGTCAGACGTACAGGTCGTACATTTGTAGATTTGAATACGAGTAGGAATATTCTGTACTCGTATATTGAATATGCATGACTGGGTCAATCTGTGCACCCTTGGGAGGGAGCAAATGATTTGCAAGTGCAACGACATTAAAGTCGCAAATAAACAAACAAAAAGATTAATACTCATTATTAATAGTTCTAATGATGCTAGAGAAAATGGAAACGTTGATTGTCACAAGATGTTTGTTAATTAAGGCGGCAGTAGTTTTCCCCACATATCGAATTTCTCTACACTCCCTAATGGATCATAGCTGAAAGTGATTGGCAATCGAATGCTTTTTATTGGAATATAAGTGCAAGTGATATGATGTGACTGTCAATCGAATGCCTTAATCGATGAGTGTTTGCTTTACTTGTAATTTATTCCAACTGCAATACGCGTCAGGGAAAGACTCAGCCGACGAACTTTGAACCTGTTTTTCGTGTAAGAAGCCCGAAGCGGAGCGCACACAATATTTGCAACTAATTGCATATTTATAAAGTTAGACAAATGGCCAATATTTAAATAATCGAATAACTGAATGAAGCACACAGAAAACAAACATTCCCGCCGTGTTCCTATGGCTGTGGCTGTGGCTGTGACTGTTTCACGCCCTGCACAGACTGACAATCGGATTGATTAGCGGGTATACTCGTACTTTGTAGAGAATGTGGAACGGATCCCAGACCTAGACAACCTACATGCATACTGGCACTGGCTCATAAACATCCATGTCTAGTCTACAGACTGACCGACTGATTAGGCTCATACTTCAACTTGCATTAATTGACTCAATTACATTTGTATGAAATATATCGCAATGGAAAGTTTACAGATTCCGTTTAATTGGCTGCAGGAATGTCCAGAGCGAGTAACATTCCTGGTGGAATGTCTGAGCTGCCCGACAGCCACCACGCGGAAGTTAGTCGCGATTAGTCCGCAAAGTTGGTCTGTTGTGTGGTTATATTAGCTAATTTACGAGTATGTGCCTGCAGCGGCCAACACTCACTCAGTCCACTAACACTAGTTCAAGGTCAGAGCAGACCAGAGACTAAGGCTAATGCAAAACAGTCGAGGTAATAGCAAAAATAATCTGCATAAAATCAAATACAAGTGGAAATCTCTTTGGCGGTCAGTCAATTGGCAGATAATACTCCTCTCTCTCTCTCACTCTCGGTCCCTGAGTATTCTGTTTGATCGTATCGCAGAGCCACGCCCAAAAGTGAGAAGGTGCTGCTGCTGCCTCCATACTTAGCTGCTCTTCAATGCAAGAGATCAACTCTTTTGGTTTCGGGGGCTCTGCTTCGTTTCGTTTCCTCAATACGTACGACCTTGATAGAGATTTTACAATAATGCGCTGCCGCTGCCGCTGCCGTTGCCATTGGCATTGTTGTTGTGTTAACTTTATTCCATCGTTTGTATTGATCAGAGACTGCTTGCCGCTACAGCTACAGGTTCAGATTGTCAACTTTTTGTATTGTCTTTTGCTCCGTGTCTCCTCAACATTCCTAGCCATTTCAGTTTCTGTTCAGGCCTTCCCATGAGACCTCTCGACCATCCGGAATAAAGTATTCTAGAGGCTGTAAATAGAACCAGATTGGGATGGGGATTGGGGATTGGGATTGAAAGCATATTCAGGCGCAAACTGCGCATACGCCACATGTGCTCCGCGGTCCAAAAATGGTAGGCCAACTTGTCGACAGAACAAAAAAAACGTGCAAATCTCTTTATACAGCCGATTGTATACAGCGAGTGCGACGCGTGTCTAGAATTTATCGGCCGACATATAGCCGGGCTGATTATCGCATAATAAACTGGAATGTGACGTCAGGGCCTGTGGAGCTCATTTGGGAGTCGAATTCTATTTATTTGTCTTTCCATTATTTCATTTCATATTTACACTGTCGTTGCCACGCACTCTCGCTCCCTGACAATCGCTAATTGGAAGGCAAATGGCATCCAGCATGGCCAGAGACGCCATAATTTGCGAAATACTTGCACATTGTGTCTAAGAATATTCAAAATGAGAGCATGGACGAGTAGACATCAGACAAAGTGCATCGGAAACCCAATGGGTTGGGATTTTCGAATTTTCGAATGTTCGAATGTCGGGATCAAACTTCTAAAAACTAATCTGCCCAATAATGATGACCGAACAGTTCTGACTTTTGATTTTCGGGTTTTCGGCAACAAAGTCCAATCTCATTTGCATGTGGACATCGAACATTGATAGGACGGTCGGACGGACGGCTTAAAAATTAATAGGCAAATCAATATGCAAAGTTTTACAGCAATTTGAATTCCCATTTTTCCCCATTTTTTTTTTTTTTGGGAAGCGAAAGGAGTGCTGGAGGGGCAGGAAGTAGCACATGTGGATGGCCTCTCCTCTCGAAATAAAACTTGAATTCTACTATCTAGATATTTATGACTGCTAAGTGGCCATAAAAGATCTTCGCAGATGAAAGTCCCCAAAGTCAAAGTCATAGCCAAGTTCATGCCTCTTCGCAGCAGATAAATCACGGAATTTTACGGAAACCGGTAGAACTTTTTAGCAATGATTATAGATATATTATAATATTTTGATTACATAATACTTAATTCGAGCTTCGAGCTGTGTGTCTGCAGTTAAAGCTTCATTAACAGGTTAGTGGAGCAGTCTCCCCATAGATTCACGTTTCTACTTAGTATCTGTGTATAATATTTATTAAATAATAATTTCTGTGAGGCAAATAAAACCAGTTTACAACTTGCATTTAAATGTAGAATCAGATATCAAACCGGAGTCTGTGTTGCAGTTTATTCCGTATTTATAGTCGAGTTTTATACTCTAGATATTGTAGATCCTCAATAGAGTCTCCGCCTAATTGTTGTGAAAAGTATTTGCCAAAATATCTGAGAAATGTTGCCTTCGGCCTTGCCACCACAACACTTGACAAGAGGCCCTCAAAATAATGCAAACAACTTGGACGCAAATTCTCGTTACTCAAATATCCAACTGAATGAATGCATTTTGGCAAAGAGCGATGACTGAACACAAAACTGAAGCTCGGTAATTCGATAATGGCGTTCGCTTTGGGTGCGAATCGGAGTCGGAGATGGTGGCAGGTGCTGCATAATTAATAAAGCCAAGAATCAAACGGAATGCTTAGTTTAGTTCCATTTAGAAGGCCTACTACAGCAGGCCTACAGGGGTAGAGCTTAACTGGGACAGCCGTCACCGGCTACGATCAGAGATTGAGCCACCAGAATCCATGCAGCTGAGGGTCCATGCAATTATGGCCAAAATAATGATTGATATCAAGTGCCAGAAGAACTTGTTCTGGCTTTGGGTGGGACGGTACTGAGCATGTGGATGGGGACCCATGGGGACTAGCCATAACAATTAACACACAGAGATTGCAGCAGCAGCCGTTGCATCCCGCAGGTTGGAGAACTGGTTTCCCTTCCTTGAAGACAATGCCATAAAATTAATGATTCATACGTGCCCGACTGGGCCGTCCTTGGGCACTGTCCTGCCGCTGGAGTTGTTAATGGGTGTGGGTCTGAGGCTGAGACTGAGGCTGGGTATTTCCCCAGCCTGGACAAAAACTAGCCGGGGAGGGAGAACAACAATTTGGCCAAGTAAACGAAACTACAGCGTAGCAGCCGTAAAACCAGTTCTGTGCACGTAAACCACATTGGGTCCCTTGGCGGGGGGGGGGCCTGCCGTTAAATGCCCCTTAACAATAAATGTAAATCATAATGTTGAGCGGCAAAAAAAGAAGCCAAATTAATTGCTGATGCGACAGTTCCAGCTCGAAAGAAATTCAATAATAGCCAAATATGAACATACAAGTGTATATGCTCTTGGTTTGTTGGATTTCCATTTTGTTTCTGCTGGTTCAACAGAAGTGCAACATTCGACGGGTTATTGGCTTCCAGAACAGAACTTTTGTGTCGCGTTGCCCGATGATTACATGATTATATCATTTCGCACAGACACTCACTCCATGATCGTGCAAATACATCAGACATTTGTGTGCACATAAGTAGGATCGTGTGTATATTCGGATCTGCTGGAGCGTGGGCGAGGCCTTGCCTTGGGTGGCATTTTAGTTTGGCTTAATGTGTGCACCGCTGATTAACAGGAACTACGGCTAGTAGCATCTTCTATTGGCTCTGCCCAAGGTCGCTTGAGGTGCTAATTATACTGCATGACCCACTTGACTTACCATCCCATCCCATCCCCCTAGGCATTGGCTGGATGACTATAATATAATTTCGTGACTTATTCTTCACTTACAGTTGGCAAGATGTCGGTCAGACTGAACGAGACGAACACTATTGTGGACCGCATGGTCAACTTTTTTGTGGAGCACGAGGATCTGCGCACAAAGGTGGGTTCGATAGTCAGACGGGGAATATTTAAATATCTAAATGCATTTGTTGGGTATTTTTACAGAGCTGGTTCCTTTCGAATGCCCCCGGACCGCTGTTCACGATCCTGGCCGCCTATTTGTACTTCTGTCTGTATGCCGGTCCTCGGTACATGCGCGACCGTAAACCCTTCGAGCTGAAGAATACGCTGCTGATCTACAACGCCGTGCAGGTGCTGTTGAGTGTGCTGCTGTTCTACGAGGGCTACAAGGGCGGCTGGGGCGGACACTACAGCTACAAATGCCAGCCCGTGCCCTATTCCACAGACCCCATCTCCATGCGGGTAAATTACTGCTAAAAGAGAGAGAGAAAGTTTTCTGCCATCTACAATCGATTTGTCATTTCAGATGGCCGGAGCTGTGTGGCTTTACTACATTGCCAAGATCACCGAGCTGCTGGACACCGTGTTCTTTGTGCTGAGAAAGAAGCAGCGCCAGATCTCATTCCTGCATCTCTACCATCACTCGCTGATGCCCGTGTGCGCCTTCATTGGAGTGAAGTACTTTGCCGGCGGCCACGGCACTCTGCTGGGCTTCATCAACTCCTTCATCCACATCATCATGTACGCCTACTACCTGTTGTCCGCGATGGGTCCCAAGGTGCAGAAGTATCTGTGGTGGAAGAAGTACATCACCATCCTGCAGATTGTGAGTGTGCCCGGAGTAATGGAGTAATGGAACGTTCTGGCTAAATCTCGAAATATCTTTTGCAGGTTCAATTCTTGATCATCTTTGTGCACACGCTGCAGATCCAGTTCCAGCCCAATTGCAACTTCCCCAAGTCCATTGCCGCCCTCTTGACATTCAACGCTGGGCTCTTCACCTACATGTTCAGCTCGTTCTATGTGCACAACTATAAGAAGGAGGCGGCTGCCCAGGCCAAGCTGACGGCGAAAAAGGAGTAGATAGCACGAAGCTCCTCCAATCTGTATATTTACATTTATCATTTATGGTCCACTCCCCTAACCTACCCTACCCTATCCTACCTTATCCTCCTCCCACTTCCCACTTCCCACTTGCCCCTTTTCCACTTTCGAATCGATGCTCCCTCCTAGTTATACATAGGTCAAGATGGATATTATACAGTCTCTGTAGTCTTTAGTTTGTAGCTTGTTTCGTAGTATTTCGTTAGTTTGAGGAAAACGGCGCACATGGAATATTCGATCGATGCACTAGGCCCTGAGGCACAATGCAATCCAATGCATTTGCTGCATCGAGTACGAGTATGTTTGCATGTAGTGAGTGTTTCTATAGAACCAAATATTATAGTTTAGTTGTTTAGCTTTTATTTTATGGACTTTTATGGCATGCATTGTTGGCCAAAGACAAGGACAGAGACAACAACTGGCAGCAGGCAAATGGCAGAACTTCTTTCTGAACTTTTGCCTGTCCCGACAACACCCTGATATGACGGTGTCTGTCTCTCTCGCTCTTTGGCATGCACATTTTATAATGAAATGTTATTATGTATATTTTATTTGCAAACAATAAAAAAAACCACAACGATTTAAATGTATAAATGCTGATATGTTTTCCATTTATGGTTACTGCGGGCACAGAAGGGGTGTGGCACCGACACGGCTAATCAGCAGATAGACTATCAGTAAAACTCTGCGGGTGGCAAGTCTACAGAGCTGCGACAATCCACAACGGAGAAAGGTAAGAACGCAAATGCCAGAGCCCTGCAACGTCAGTCTGCCAGAGAACATCGCGCTGATCACATCGAAGTCGTTCGTTCCGGAAACAGCTCTAATCTGTGGGAGAGTGTAGCTTATCTCCGTGCACATTTACATTTATTTACTGAGAATGATAAAGAGCAAGATAGTAGAGGACAAGCTTGATACGCTTGTCTCACGCTACGCAGTGCCGATCATCGATCTCGCACATTGTGGTAAGTGTTCGTGTTTGGGTTCTTGCCCCATCCCCGTGAGCAATCTCTGTTTACAATCGCTCTGCTTGTAGCCAAGTCTGTGATCTGTCGCGTTGGGCAACAGCTGGACAAGGCACTTTCCGAAAAGGGGATCGCCCTACTGGTGAATCATGGCATTCCCGATGAGAAGGTTGGTTCTTATCACCCATTTCGAAACACTTTGGCTTAATCACTGTTCTAATCCGCTCAGATCAAAGCTGCCTGGGACCAATTCGATAACTTTTTGGACCTGCCGGCTGAGGTGCGGGACCGCTACAGCCGAAAGGATGGTACAAACTACGGCTATGTGAGTCCCGGAATGGAACGCTTCGATGGAAAGACGCCAGAGCTACGACATACCTACAACATTTGCAAGCTGGACGACAAGAACATTCCAATGGAGGTTGAAACACTGCCCAAGTTTGCAGAGGAGATCACGACGCTGGCCAACGATTTCACGGCTCTGTCCACCTTCATACTGAAAGGCCATGGAGGTCGCCCTGGAGATCCCTCCCAAGTGCTTTCTCGACAAGCACTCAGAGATGCTTTCCGGGGATGATGTCAATATGACCACCCTGCGAATGATCTACTATCCGGCGATAGTGGACGATGAGCCTGGTCAGAGCGAGGGTGCGGTTCGCTGTGGTGCTCATGTGGACTACGGCACCTTTACCCTCCTGGCTCAGGACTCTGAGGGCGGTCTGGAAGTGCAACTTCCTGGCGGAGAAAAATGGGAACGTGTGGGCCATCTGCCCGGAGCCATACTCATAAATGGCGGGGAGCTCTTATCAATCTGGACGAAGCAACGCTATCACGCTGTGGTATGGTCCTCCATCTCCAGCATAAATATCCGTACTCTCATACTTTTTTACGCTTTTACAGCCACATCGCGTCGTTGTGCCTGAGAGGGTCCAAATACGCACCAGAGGCAGACACTCGATTGCCTACTTCTGTCATCCGGATAACTCGACGATGATTTCGCCCAGGGATATTCTCGCAAATCAAGCGGATGCTGCGGAGGACTCTACGGACGAGAAGTGAGTAATACGGCTTGAGTTTTGAATGACCATAAACTGAAAGTGCAATCTTTAACCCCCAGAATCTACAGTGCCTACGAGCTGATTCAGCAAAAGTTCTCTGACACCTACGGCCAGCGTTCGCAGGGAAGCAACGAATCTTGAGCAACAATTTATTCTGATATTAATGCAACATACAACAAAAATAAAAACACAATTAGTACTGCAAACCGACAGTATATCATTTTGAATTGTATGTATCCTGGACAAAAGCTGACTGCCATAGCACTACACAACATTTGCTGACGATCTATCGATACACCTCGAAATTTTTCTATCGAACACGATCGATCATCCCATGGTATAACCGTTCGAGGGGTACGGTATAAATGCTTAAATGTTAACAGCTCCAGATAATACGTATACATTTGCATCTTCTTGGAGATTATTCCTATATTTTGAATTAGTTTATCTTGTTAATTCAATACAATTGTAAGGTATTTATTCAAAGGTTGGACACAATTTGTATTAATGTTATTTGAGTAATGTAATTAAGTCCCTCGACGAGACTGTAATCAATGCACCGCAAAGTGTTGCGTTGAATAGACAAAACCCTGTTAAGTGTTAGGCGATCGTCGGAATGTTAACCTAAACCGCCCCAACATTTTCGATGCGCCACTTTTTCACCCGACGCGCGTTCAGTTGTTTGTTGTGTGCTCCGAAAATACATATTTCTCTTTGAAGCACACCTTTCCTTCACAGTTTGAGCTAAATATTGAATTCCAAATTGGCACAACGTGCCAGAAAAAGAGCGCAAAGGTTTCAGTCTGGTTTACAATCGGTTCTCTCTTCTGTCGCACCGCACCCGTCGCTCAGGTGGTGTATCTGTGCATCTGCATCTAGGTTAACTTCGCGAGTGTGTTACAAAATGATGGAAAGTGGGCAAAAAAACCACCAGAAAGTGATACAAAAATTGACTAACTAATCCGTGGCTGTGCCTGTGCCTGTGGCTGGTGCCTGGGAGGTTCGTTCGATGAAAAGCGAAACCTGTGCGAAAAAAGAAAGCGAGTTTTCACTGTAAGCCCCCCTACAAAGTAAAACAAAATACAAAACTGCGATATAAATCACAATTTCAGCTGAATAGGCATCTAAAAAATATAAAAATTAATATTGTTTGGTTTTTGTTGTGTTGCATTGAAAGGCAAGAGGCAAGGCGAAATTTCATGCCGTTTGCCACCAAATGCTTACTCATGATCGGCGGGGCCTTTCATACAAGCTCGTATTTCCCCCCCACGATCCGACTCAGAGACGCGCAGATTCAGACTTTGCCCAGACTTTGCTCTTTGGCTGTGTGGCTCATCTGGCATTTCCTGAACGGCAAGACAGCGAGAGCCGAGCCAGCCCGCCTGGCAACAAGACACAGACGGAGCAGACGCTCTAGAAAAACAGCTGGCCAGCTAAGCCAAGGGGTGAAATGCATGGCAAGGCTCACACCTGAGTCCGTTAAACGAGATCTGCCAGATACACAGCGGATGAGTGTGTGAGTGTGTGTGAGAGTAGTTGGCAGCCTTTTGTGGGTATACCCACACACCGCAACAGGAGACGGCGCATACAGCCGTACCTGAGCCACGTTCACGTTAATGGCCATCGCAAATATTGCAAAAGCAAACTGAAACTCAGACAGAGACTCAGACTGGTACGGGGCTACGGGGCTGCTACCTGTGTTCGAGCTCTTTGGCTGTGTAGAGATGGTCTCACCTTTCGTTGGCAATGCTTACCATATGACAACCGTATTCGTAAGTACAGACGAGTACGGGTGCGAGTACGAACACGAATGCGAATGCGAATATATATGAACACACACACACACACGAGTACAAGTGCTAATTTAGTTATCACAATTTTTGATTTGATTAAATTTTATCTAATTGCGACGCACAAGCAGACAAATATACTAGAGTGTGAGTACCCGCACATACACACACACACACACACACACAACACACTTGGCTCGCTCTTTGCAATCAGTTGTTGGTTGTTTTTTTTTTTTTGTGCAAAATACAATCGTAAACTGACGCAGAATCGTTCAACTGTCAGGTGAGATACGGCATACGGCATACGGGCAGCGCGCAGTCGTGAAGGAGAGCGTCAAGTCAGTCCGTTGAAGAAGCGCGCCCCGATCGCAACTAAAATTGAATAGATCGAATCGAATCGAATTGAATCGTTCCCAGGCCCCCGCCCGTTACGATTTCGGTGGGTGTTTCCCACCAGTTGCCGCCTCTTTTGGCGTCACCTCTGCCTCACCGACCGCCAGAATATTCTGTGACTAAAAGCGTTCGATTAAAAGCAAAACACACAAAAGTAAAAAATCAAACATAAACACAAACGAAAACTTTAAACAAAAACAAAAACAATAAACCCTCGAATTCGCGATTTTAGTATTTGTTTTATATAAACAAAAATTCGAATGAAAACTGCAAAACTGAAAACCGACCAGCAAACAAATAACCACAATAATAATCAAGTTCTCTTCGCCTCGTCATTCAGTTCCATTTAGTCAGTCGTCGGCGCTGAAAGTGCGCTGTGCTCTCCACACTCCACTCCACTCCACACCACTCCTCTCCGGTTGGGGTTGGGGATTGGCTCTGTCTGCAGGGGCACCCTGATAAAGTGTTCACCAGAACTGAAACCAAAGAACTTTAGAAGTAAAGGAGCAACGAAAGCCATACATCTGACAGATACAGATACAGATACGACGAGCATACACACTCCCCGCATCGACAGCTTCAGCATCCAGCACCACAAACAAAATGCTGAAGACAAAATCAAGTGACGACAAACTGGATACGCTGCTGTCGCGCAGCGTAGTGCCGATCATCGATCTGGCACACTGTGGTGAGTACTTCTACATTTTCCCCTACCTCTGGGTGTACAAATGTCCCATAATCGAATAGAGTCACTGAATGCCAAGTGGCCAGTCACACGTGAACGTCGAATGTAACATACTAGAAAAATTCCACTCACATCAGCGAATGTTCTGCTAATGAAACTGTGGCTTTTCTCTGGACCCACAGCAGTTCAGAGCTTCATAGCCTTCGTAGAATTCTCGTAATTGACTGCAATCTCAGCTGCTGCTGCTGCTGCTCTGCTGCTGCTGATGGCTGAGTCATCTATCTGTCCACTGTTTCGGGTGACTGTGCGCTGTGCGTGTTCCGTCCATGGCTCTGCTCTCCCTTAATTGCAGTCATTGGATTGCGCCATGTTTTGTGGTGCTTTGTGGAGTTCAGGCTACATCGCAGTTAATTGGAAATAATTATTGACTTGTGCAACTGACACCTGCACCTGGGACCTTTGTGCGAACAGATGAAAAGATGAATAATGCAAATGCGATTTGCCAGCTATCGAGATACGTACTTATGTATCTATATATTTAGGTATTGCCGAAGACTTTGTACCCTTATCGTCTTTGGAGGAATATAAATATAAGGCTTGTGACACCGCTTCCAGCTACTCCTAGCCATACTCATATTTGTGGCTATGAATAACTTCTTGTTCGAGGAAACAATTTTCTCATTTGTAAACTTTTGGTATTTTTCATTGATTGTGGAGCATGCAATTGTAGCCGGTGTCAAAACTGACCATAAGTACCCTGGCTTCAAGCACTCTTGACCTTCTCTCTCTCCCTTTCAACCGAAAGCGCCTAAACATCACAGATCAGAGACATTGACCCCCAACACGCACACACACAATTTAATCTTTGTCTTGGGGCATTTTGATGTCATCGGAACTTCAATTGGATATTTCTTGTTTTATTTAGTTTTGTTTTGCTCGGCACCGAGGTGGAAAGGTTTTTGAACTACAATAAATACACGTACATTTGTATGTGTGCGTATGATTATATAGTTGATTGCTTGTGGCATTTGTGGAATTTTTTGTAGGTCCCCAAACGGAGCGACACCCGAGCAGTGCGGAAACTCAAACAAAACGCATCATCACAGTGCGTGTATTTACATTTATTTGTGTTACGAAACCTGATTTTGTTCGAGAGACCTGCTGCACTGGAGGCCAGTCGACAAGGGGAGCTGCTTGCTTGTGTAGTATTTCCCGGCTGGAGTTCTCTCAGTGAACAGTTTTGGGGAACACTGACGCATTTGGTCAAGTGAATCCCAGGCACGTCATCAGACTTTGCCTCGCCTCGGCTGCCGCTTTGGGCCACTTCCCACTTGACAAATAAATGGCATCAAAACACTACCAAAAACAAAAACCCCAACACTGAGAGCATATTAAGTAGCTCTTCAACCGATTGAAACCAGCTTAAACCTGTTGATTCTCGCTTGTTGTCGCGGCTGTGGTGGACGTGCCCGGCGCTTGATTAAATGGTATTGGCTCTGCTCTGCTGGGCAGCTTTCTGCGGGTTTTCTCCTGACCCTATGTTAATGTGATCCGAAATTCCGAATCAATTGAGTTCTCAGCGGATCTCTACGTGAACAGAGACAGAGACATGACAGCTGGCCAAACAACACGGAAACCTTCAACCATCATTTCGCGGTTAATTTGCACACTCAGTCCTCATATCATATCTAATATGTACCACGCGTTTGTCAGCTCTAAATTGATGCTAAGCTTTATTGATAGGTACAAATACTACTCGTACGAGTATTCTGTATTCTGTATTCTGTTTGCTGCCTGCCTCTGCCTGATGGTACTCCTGCGATGCCGTTGACTTTTGTATTCCCAATGCCATTGAAATTATTTTTTTCCATTAGTCGCGCATCTGCAAACCATTTTGCCTTTTGCCCCATGCAGGGAATACCACTTTCCCTGGCCCGCAATTCAGTTTTCTATAAATAAATTATACACACTGCGCGGTCCTGCCTCTGCCATATGCCTCTGCAAAAATTCCGCAACTAAATTGCTGCCATAATAGCCATATACTATACACGAGTACGAGTCGAAAGCAAATAGGTCTATAAATATTGAATTAAAAATTGCCGGCCAATGAAATTTGAATTTGACTTTTGCCAGTGGTTCAATTCTATTTGCGGAACCAATCTTCCCGATGAGTGCTTGCTTGCCAATGATACATGTGTACCTTGAAGGGGGGTTGCATGCAACTAAAGTTGAATATGTTTACCATTGGAACCATAGAAGCAATTGAATTATAGACAAAGGGAATGCCTTAAGCACGACCGAAGCTAATGGCTGGCTGGCCATAAATGCATAAAAGCCA